TTAGCGTTCGTGTACTGTAAGCCGATTAGAGTAAAAAGCTCTCGAGCTCCAGTCTGAGGGGAGAAAATCAGAAGGAGTAACAGAGCTTGTCGATTCGATGCTAGCACACTAAGTAAAGGACTTAGCATGTTAGATGCTTCTCCAACGATAGAATTAGACACTTTCGTAGGTGTCGGTGATTCGGAACGCAGCGAGTCTGTGGTTTGCGGCGATGTAGAATCAGCTAGTAGCGCGGAGTGCTCAGTAGACCTCTTCCTTAAGTTTAACGTCTCCGGAATAAATATCGTAAGCAAGAACGCTCCCGAAAACAGCGTTCCCGCAGCTAGTAGCAAAACAACCCAAGTATGTCCTTTTTCCATCAGCGGACCACTGATGGCGGGTCCAAAGAAGCCCGAAATCACGTCGGCAGCGTGAAGATACAAGAAAATCTGGGCGCGTTCGGCATCATCGGCAGTGTCAGTAACCATGACATGCAAAATGGTGGAAATAACGGCATCTCCACCGCCGAGGAACAGAAAGGCGCCCGATAATAGAGCCCAGCGGATAGAAGCAAATCGCCAGTAGCACACAGCTAGTACCCAAGAAAGCGCAGAAAAAACACCAGCGCCGCTCATGATGAGCACACGCTTACGACCAATACGCTCCGCAAGCAGCCCATAAGGTACGGTGCACAACAGTGACGGGAAGATTGGGACAAGTTGCTGAAAGCCGCGAACGAGGGCAAGTTCCTTCTGTATTGGCTGCGCCTTGCAAGGATTAGGCAAGGTACCATTAGAGGCTGGAGGTAGTGAGTTTGTCTTATAGTAGTCATCGCAAATGACATTTTCGAAGACTTGAACCAGCGCGGCCGGCTGTAAATTATCTCCAAGCATCATGGTAAAGGCAAAAGCGCACAGGAGAACGATGATGCGCTGCTTATGCCTTATGGGCACAGCGTGCGGTTGTTCTGAAGGGGTAGACACATCCCCAACAACCTCAATATCATTCCGAAGTAGGGGAGAAGATTCATCCACATGATGGGATTCATCGTGAGTGTTGGTAATATCTGCGGAAGTCATTATGGCAGTTGATACAACCTCACAGTCGACAAAACACCAAGCCCTTAGGGGAAGAGGAAACGCGCAGGCAAGGGTAAGCATTCACTAAAGCCCGGAAAACACGATAGCGGATAAAAATAAAGAGAGTGACGAGGTGAGGTTCAAAAAGCGGTAACAGCGAGTGTCATTTTTGACTTGATGCCTTAGGTAAGTTATGATTACCTTCAATCCGAGTTGCTTTCCATTATTGATGTTATGTAAAGTAAAAGCACGGTCCATGTTTAAGCCTATTGTAAATCACCTTATTTAAATGACTCGTTATCTTCTTATACAGTCTAAGTACATAAAAATACTTATCACCATATAATTCAAATACGCTCAAATACGACTAGGCAGCCAGGATGATTGATATGTGTGTTTTTAATTACAAACCAACTATTCCTAGGTAGCAAATGAATGGATAATCGTATTATACAAGAGTGATGATTCCCGTCGAATTGTTCATAGCCCCATCAAGCCACCAAGCCTTCCACTCATCCGAGAAACCCCCTATATCATAGTCTCTACACTCACACATGAAGATGCCAACTCGTTGGAACTTTTTGCCTTCCACATGTTCTAACATGAGCACATAAAGGGTCTCACCTTCTATTTTACATATCGGGATACAAGTGCCTTCGATCACTTCTGCTCCTGCAAACTTTTCTGCTCGATCCGACATGTCGAAACATATGTCCGCCCACGTGAATCTGCCATAGCATTGTGTCTTCTCTTCGTCAGTGTATAACTTGACAACCCAACCGTCGTTTTCGTATTTAAAATAGGATAGTTTGCATTTAACGTCGACCTCTGCGGATCGAAGGAGACCAGTGGTATCCCCACCAGGAGGCTCTGCCACGATTCTTTCGTCAATCGCTTGTATTAACGGGTCCAGCTGTTTCCTGTAAACACCATATAGTTTTACCCCACTACCCATCCCTACAGCCGCTACTGAAGCCCAACTCCAGGATGGAGCATAAGATTTGTTGCGTTGAACCCGGGTTCCTTCATTAGCCTTCCTTCTCCACAAAAGACCAAAATGTAGTGACTGTTTCCACAGACCAGCTAGATATGTATCGCCACTGGCGGCTCGAAACTCTTTGGCAATACCGGACAGGGCAATGAGTTTGTCTGAATCTTTTGTGAGATTACAAGCTGTGTATCTCGAGAGAATGGTATGCCAAAAGAAAGGACTTATCCCCCCTTCAGAGTACAACTCCATCTGGCCCCTTTGAGCTTGAATAGTTGCTTTCTTTTTGATAATCTCCTTCCTCGAATCCTTATATCCATATCCTAGCTTTCGCTGCGTGAAGTCTTGATCGTTAATTTTTCTGGAGTTTACCAACTTGATCATAATATCGGCCTCGCAATGGGTATCCCCCAGGCACTCCCAATAAATTTGATTTCGTGTGAAGTAGATAATGCGAGTAGACAAGAATCGCTCCTGTACAACCCAGCCTCGAGTGTGAAGAGCCGCCCTTTCGATCTCGTCAACCCAGATTGAGTCATTCCAGCCTATCCATGGGCCGTAGTTGATTTCCGATAGCTTGGGTACACGAATGCCAATATTAGTTGTGAATGGGTACAAAAACCTCACATTGTCCATTCTTTTATGAAACAGACCTCCCAGCGATGGGTTCACCGATGGGGAAATCGCCGATATATTACAAAATGAGTGGCGATAAACGTCAACCATTATATTGGCTTCTCTTTGCCAATCAACCTCCGAGTCTTGGAATATGCATAGCGAGTCTACCCAGAGATATCTGTAGCCTAAGCGATGGACAAAAAGAGTCGCATCGCGAAAGGTTGGCGATAGCTCGTCAATGGGTATGCCATCACGGAGTTGGTGTTCTGTTTCCTTACAGAGCTGGTTGATTTTACTCGGGTCTCCCCAACGATGAGAAAGAGTCCAATATGTAGGATAAATGTTTACTGGGGTAAGATTTGGCGCATGACAGCACAAGTCTTCCTTTCTAGTATCGCGTTGGGCCATCGCTTCGTCTCTACTCCTCAAGAAGACAGTACCAGAACACGCCTTTTGCACGTCGAGGATTCGAGTTGGAAAGAAAGCTCCAGCTTCCATGGGGGGTCTGCAGAGGTCTTCATGATCCTTCTCACATGTTGAAATCCAGCGTTGGATGTTTTCCAAAGACTGAGGAGACCCTATATAAGGGTCGAGATTTTCCCACGGTCGGGCCATCATACCATGATATTCGTTTCGCTGTTCATCGCTAGTAGATAAGCGTACTATGTTACTGAGCGCCTAAAACCAGAGGTACTTCGTGATTTGTAGAATAGGTATTACGTACCGGTAAATTCATAGTCAGCAGCCCATGAACATGAAATACCAAATGTTACACGACATTCATAGCCCTCCCCATTTATCCCAGTGTAAATATAGCAGTCAATTGTAAACTGTTCATTGGGGTCCTCCGTGACATCCCCTTCATATCTTTGGGGAGGGCACCTTGACCAGATCCAGGTACAGATGAAGCAGCCGATATCTTTACTCATCACTAAATCAGAGTACTTCTGGTGATGCGTGATTCTTCCCCAATGTTCCCTTTCACTGAATATACGGAAACTGGATTTGCAAGTAGCACATAATGACCCTTCGGGGTCTTCCATTATAGTATGTGTACTAAAAAGCAGACTTTAAGCACCGTTATATGATTTAAGCCTGTTTCAAAGATCACTAAGTTATGACATAAATACAAACAATATCATAATAGTTGAACTAGACAACAGTGTGTGGCTTAAGGGGGCCTGTGCAACGATTATGATCTTAGCTCAGTACCGTTTTACTTGGCGCTGTCGTGCAACCCAGAGAATATATCACGGCCTATTTCAACAAGAAAGAGGAGATATTTAGAACGCTCCACCACACTAGATAATACGGATCGATGCGTATTTATAATATATGGGAGCGGGGTATAGTAATGAGTATAGATCTACATAATACTATACGCCGCGTTAGGTACTTTTGGGCCAAGCCTATAATAAGCCGCCTTTTTTATTTAATTATTGATCACTTGATGGGGAGAAAGGGGAAATGGCGTTGAAGTAGTTGAAATATTTCTGTCAAGATTAACCCTTATAGATAGGTATTTAAGAAGAGTAAGAATAGCAAGTGTAATTATTTTATATGAGATATAATTGCTTGTTAGTAGATATTTTCTACAATAGATTGTTTTTATACTTATTCTAGTTGTGATCCCAAAGATTCTTAGGTAATACATATACCCTGCCCAAACTAATAACATTAGCCATAAGACGACCAGACATTAGTGCGTGTATTGGCATATAAAATGATTGCCAATAATAAGAGACTATCCGGATATGGCGGGCCGTACGTGCATGGTCTATGGCCAAATGAGGGCATAATATTTATACTAAGTAGGCAGGTAAGTAAAAGGGTTGTTGGTTGATATAAAGATTTCGATCCAACGGGGTTAGTATATTTCGGCGATACAGGTGAACCCGATACTCTTAACGCTCGCTTATCAACTCTTACCATACATGAACCATGTCATGTATGCATCATAACAAGATCTAGATATTAAACATGAAGATCATCCAGAAACTGAAGTACACCTATCCATTCTGAGAGATATGCTATCTCAACCTGCAACTAGGGGGCACTCATCCATCATACATACCATCCCAGAATCCTACACTTAATCGACATACCAAGAAGATCAAAGTATGTAAGCCACTCATATCATATTTGCTTACTTGCTTTTTCTCACCTAGAATAGCCAAGCAAAGGAATCCAATCTCATGGATTGGATCGCTAAGATCCACTTCAAATCATGTGTCTTATATATCCTGATAGAAAAGCTCAAGGGCGCCTGGGCTCGATAATTATTATTAGCTTACCTAGCTGCCTTCTGAAAACCTAGCTCCATATTTGCTATAACCATGTCTTCTATTGAAAACTTAGCATCATCCATTACGGAACAAGTCTCGAGGCTCTCGTCCCTGCTCCAAGGAGAGGGCTTGCCTTCCCCAACCTTTGAAGAATCCGGATTCAGGGATTTCGAACATGAAACGGACACACCGACAGGAAAGGCATTGCGAGAAGTACGCAATAAAATACTTGATACGGCCCATGACCTCATACGGTTGGTACAGGGTCCAACCGAACACATTCTAACTTTAACTTGGGCGGTCAGTATTATTCCGATTGTTTACATGTTAATTATCTCCTTCCTTTCGGTAGGAAGATCGCTTATACCTTTTGGATCACCTTATAGACTACAGACACGGTGAACATTGATTTGATTACTCGGTTGAAGATCCCCGAACATGTACCACTAGGGTCGTCTATATCAACCCAGGAACTCGCCGCTGCCATACGCATTCCTGAGCCTTTACTGGCTCGAATAGTACGATATGGGATTGCCAATGGCGTGTTTATTGAGGAATCTCCCAACGTCATTCGGCACTCAGCATCGTCGGCTGCGCTGGTGCAGAACCCGCACTTGAGTAATATCGTACGGTTCGGAGCGGAAGATCTTGGGAAAGTCATGATGAAAATACCAGATACAGTTGTGCTTAAGCGCGACGATCCGGCGCATGCTCCTCACACTGCATTTAACCTGGCATACGACACGGAGGAGTCGTTATTCGTTCATTTCCACAAAAATGAAGCTGCAAATAAGAGATACCACGAGTATTTAGCGGGAAGAGTAAGCACGCCCTTGTGGTCTGTTGATCGTCTACGCGCAGCTTGGCCATGGGAATCCAAGGGAAAGGTTAAGGTAGTTGATGTAAGTACTTCCTTTCCTCACCTTTGCTTATTCTCTCGTGAACTGATGGAATTTAGGTTGGTGGTTCTAGCGGCCATACGGTCCTAGCATTGGCGCCCTTGATGCCCGATGCAACATTCATCGTCCAGGATAACAATCTCTCTTCGTTAGAAATGGGACGAAGCGCCGTTGCTAAAGATCCATCTCTAAAGTCGCGCGTTAGCTTTGAAGTATATGATTTCTTCAAACCACAGACCGTTCAAGCGGATATCTATATATACCGACATATTCTACACGATTGGCAGGATGAGGACTCTGTTAAAATCCTCTCGTCGCTGCTTCCGGCCCTAAAACCGGGGGCAAGGGTTCTGATCAGCGAGGGTATTGTTCCGGAACCGCCTGCAAAGAGACTAAACACATTTGCAAGTAAAATGGTCCGGTGAGTTGTTATATTTTCCATTTTCATTTCTATAACGACAATTTTCTTTCCTAATTTCTACTTTTAATATTAATAATTTGAACCTATATATAGGGTAGAAGATACATTTATGCTCGGAGCGCATGATTCGCACGAACGCACTGTCGCTGAATTCGAGTCAATATTCCATCAAGTCAGCCCTGGAAGTTTTCGGCTTGCGGGCGTCACATCGGGCGCCGAAGCCGGAGCTTTCCAATCATTGCTAGAATTCGAATTTATTGGGTGAGAAAGTAGCATAGTAAGCACATGCTTTATCATGCAGTTCGTTAGATCTAGGCGAAAGGGGGGTATTTTGGGTTACATTTGCATGCCGCTGCTCCCCGTCTCGTGATTTTGTTCGTTACTTGATTGGGTAGTCTATTGCTTACTTACGTATCTTACTTCAACTACCAACTATATATTAGCTTAACGCTCGATTGATTGTGCTTATACTATACCTACCATCGTAATACAGGCTTCAGTTCTTATTACGCAACTAATTGTATGGATATAATCTTCATAATCATATGTACCCCGAGTTTTATGGGAGAAGAAAATAGCGCCTACCTATTAATCAGCGCTATTTAAAAACATGTATGAGATGCTACTATAAGAAGGAAAGTATAGGGAAATCTTAAATCATAGGTACTTGGAATACCAAAAAGGTGGGTGGTGTCAATAATAGTTGGATATAAATATTGCGATAACAAAATACTATTATGAAATTACCTTTTAGTGGTGAAATGGTACATTCTATAACAATTATATAAGTACACTGTGAAAGAAAAGTGATAGCTCTATTCTATTATCGCTATATCCTCCGAACTGTAGAAAAGAAATGAGTTGATCAGTCTTTAGGTATATAATTCTCTATATGGTCGCTCCTCCAGCGTCTTTAATAATTTACTACTTTCGGGATAGAATTTTGGGTATCTTCCACTTGTGAATAAAAATTAGATATGTTGCAATAGTTGCAACCGTGTAGTTGAAAATAATGAAGCCGATAAATATACCGATATTATTAGCGCGACTGCTGTAATCGAAGTCATATTGCTTTACCTATGTGATGTTAAATAACTCGTTAGTATTTTAAACTAGGCAGGTGAAATATATCAGACAGAAGAACTTACATATTCGTCTCCGTTTACATATGGGCAATATGCACAGTCTCCTATGGCATTCTCGTCGACCAGATACCCCTGACCGGATGACGAATTGAAGAATGATGCAGCGTATTCGCCACATGTCTGATTTTCGGGAGCATGGAAAACAGACATCTCCGACTCAGAACAGGATATCTCAAGCCCATGAATGGCGTTTGTAGCGAGACTTTCAACGAAGTAGTAGAGCGGCGACACATTGTAGAACCACCGCCATCCCCTGGGAGTAAGCGGAGGCGGTGAAAGGGGACCATTGAAGGTATTGATCATAAGCCAGACGAATCCGGTTGCTATTTGGGCAGCTCCGATGGTTGGGAAAATCGAAGCTATCAGTTGTGCGATGCTGGCGGTAAAAACATGGTAGAGCTCGTACATCAAGAATGCGTAGCCGGCGCGCTCAGATGAATAAAAGTACCCGGTCATGTAATACCACAAGACCCAATAGACGAATCCACCTATAAGACTAAACGGTATTTCTACTATAAATGCGCTTAAGACGAAGACGGACCAGTGGTAAACACAAGACTCCTTTTCGCGTGCAAGGAACTGATCGCGGAAGGTAATAAAGCGTGGCTCGATCTGTAGGGTAAGTATAGGCCCTGTGATGATGCTAACAAAAATGGAGAACATGTGATTCCGGGAGTCGGTCATGCTGTTGGACAACTGTAGGAATGTTAGACCGTTGATGAGGCCCATCCAGATGTTCATCTGGATTTTTCCAAGCACGTAGTCCGGATCCCGCCAGTAGTTCAAGAAAGCTCGACGGAGTACCACTCTCATTTGTTCACGGAGAGACGCAGCGAAGGCCGTGTTATGTTCATCGCCCTTGTCATCGTGTGTATTCCCCGATAAGATCTCGTCTAAGCGCTGTCGAGCCGCATGATATTCCGGTGACTCTAACCACGTCTTAGACCAGTCAACTGGAGCGCTCGCAGTAAGATCGAGAACATAGTCAGCCGGATTCTCCGTATCCCTACAGGGTCGTGCGTAGCGGCCAAAATATTCGACTAGAGTTTGGCATTGTGGTCCCATGGGTCCAAAATACGCTGTCTTGCCACCAGGGATGAGGAGCAAGAGGTTGTCGAACTGTTCGATGAGATCGAATGAGGGTTGGTGAATTGTACATAAGATGGTCTGTCCAGCATCTGCGAGTTTGCGCATCAGAGCAATGATAGAAAATGCAGAATCTCCGTCCAATCCAGAAGTAGGCTCATCTAAGAATAGTAGAATATCCGGTTTTGCTGCAAGTTCGACGCCGATACTCACTCGTTTTCGTTTCTCGAGACTTAACCCGGCGCCAGGGGTACCGATCAGCGCATCTGCCACATCATCCATTTCAAGCATCGAAATGACTGTGTCAACATAATCATATTTTTCCGAAATGGGGACCGAGGCTGGTTGGCGGAGCCTGGCCGTAAGACGTAGTGCTTCTCGTACGGTCGACGTGCTAAGATGGACATCTTGTTGCTGTACGAAGCCGGACCTCCGGTTCATCGATTGAGGGAGGGGTTCACTATCAAGATATAGTCCACTAGTTACTATACCAATGGAAGCTCTCTGGGCGAGCGTATCTAAAAGTGTAGTCTTAAAACCAGACGTTTGATTAGCAAGGAGCCAAATTTGTGCATTAGGTAGTATTATACGAACCTTTCCTGCACCCGACATTCCCATCAAAGCGGTCATAGCGCCTGGTTCTAACCATCCTAGACACTCATTAGGGGGGATAAAACTAGGGTGGATTTGAAGAGTCCTACCAGAGACATTGTTCAATAGCCGGCGATGGTTCCCTCCCACTTGGATATCTAGACAGAGGTCTTTCCAAGCGAAATGATGTTTTGAAGATCCAATTGTTTCTCTGGTCGTAATCCGAATTTGCTGCGAGATATCCACCTCGCTTGTGTCTGTATCCTGTTTTGGAGACTTCTCTTCGTCCGAAGTATCCAGAGTTCTCTTTTGTAGAGCCCCTGTGCTATAGAATATTGTAGATAGATAGCCAGAAGGGGTTTTAAACCTTTCCATTCCAATGCTAAATTGATCAGTACACATATCAGATAGATTAAACAAGCAATGGAAGCCAGTGAAACGTACGTGACGCAAATAGCAAAGAAAACGAAAAAAGCAGCGTTAATTCCGATATTTCTCCAGAGGTTAGATTGGAAGAAAGTGTAAACCGTCTCGAGATAATTCTGTCCAGAAAGCATTAAGTTGCCTGGAATCGAGCTTTGCACCGCGCAGACTTGGAATGCAGTGTCATTGTAATCTAGTCCCCGTGGAACTGTATCTTCTGCGCTGCATTGGTATTCCCTCGATACGAACTCGTTCAGCATAACAGATTCGAAAGCATAAAACATTGGCTAAGTTGGTTAGTTCAGTAGTTCTGCGTAATTAGAATGCGCTTGAATAGGGGTTCAGAACGTACATTTAGATATCGTAGCCAGCCTAGCCATACTTTCATCCCCGGTGGATTGACGTAAAATCCGGTGTAGATGATAAGCGAGTTCATCAGAATTCCTACTGGCAGAACAGCTCGTGTTGGAGTCTTGGTGAATACAGCAATGGTACGAAACATCACTCCCAATGAGACAAGCGAGATCCACAGCGTAAGGAACCAAATAAAGAAAGGACCAGCCTCCCGTTTGAAATTGACCATCCAGTATATCGGTAGGTTATATAGGATGAAGACGACCTTCCAGGGAATATCAGCAAGGATCTGCCCAAGTGCATAAGCGCCCGGTCTATAAAAACATAATGCACGCTGCTTAAGGAGAATGGGTCTTTGCGCAAAGGTGTTTCCAAACTCTGCAGTAGCTTGAAGGCACATAATAAGGACAGAGAAAAACAATGCCGAAGATCTCGTATAAATCCCGTGGGTGACCGCTTGTTGATCTCGAAAGAGTGTACCCAGCATTATTGCTTGAGCTATGGTTCCAGCAGCCTCTGCAACCCAAGTATTTCGATCTGTGAAGTGGATGCGGTAGTGACGAATGGTACACTCGTATATTTGTCTGTAAAACGGCAACTGGAAGCTTGATATCTCTCGTGACGGCGATAGTGTGGTATCATTCGGATATTCCGAAACTTCCTGTGCGTAGTACTTGCTTTCCCGGTATCTTTGTTCGAAATCAATTGAGCTAATCGGTACGGGTCGTCCACTGTAATCGGAGTGGACGTGACGAGACTTGGGATTTCCTGACATGGAAGTTAGGAAGTCTGTTAACGAAGTTTGAGGTGGGCATTCGAATCCGAGGTCCTGAAAATACTGCTTCGATTCGCTAGTAGGTCCAAAGTATACCACACGGCCTTCGCTTAATACCAATACTTTGTCAAAACAATTAGCTATTGCATCGCTGGCTTGGTAAAGAGACACAATGGTGCAGCATTGACTCTGAATAGTATACTCCTGAAGCATCTGGGCGATCCGAAGTGCAGTGGAAGAATCAAGGCCGCGGGTCGGATTGTCAAACGCCATAACACTAGAAGATATCAGTTGACACAAATGTATCACTCTCTTCGGCATGAAGCTTCTTACCTAGCTCGTGTACAGAATGCTTCAGCTAGAGTCACGCGATGTCGTTGACCTCCACTAATACCTCGAATATAATCATTTCCTACTGGAACATTCGCGACGTGCGCAAGATCGAAAAGGTCGAGGATAATCCGTACATCATCATCTAACTGTCGAGAGCGGTTAGGGACATCGATAGGGGTCCGCGCATTTAATGCAAATCGTAGTGTCGTGCCTACAGAGAGACTATGGAAATGGATATCGTCTTCTCCTATTTATTTAAAATTGTTAGAATTGCAACAGAGCAACTGAAGAGTGACCAGTTTATCTGTAGGAAGACTTACCAGCATATGCCACCTCCGCTGAGTAGTGCGATTTCATTTCCGTTGCGCTTCGGCCGTTATACCATACTTCTCCATCAACTGCTTGATATTCTTCCCACATGTTTACCAGAGTCTTAAGTAATGTCGTACAACCACTCCCAGGTTTTCCAATAACCATCAACATTTCTCCTCCACGGATTATACCAGACATCGAATGGAGGAGCGTGCGTGATGGCTTGGGTTGTTTCGATAGGTACGACGCTGGATTTATCTTCCTAGCTAAATCAAGCAAAGCTATTGGGACCGTTGGGGCTTCTTGGTGCTATATAAAGTTAATTATATCTCTTGAAAGCATGAACAATGTTTTCATCTAATGCTTCACCTTATGAACGGGGAACAGTTTGGACTTACACCAATTCCAGCTCCTCGAACAGTGAGATTTCGAAACATTACGTCTTGTTTCTCCTTGCCTCCCCCGGGGCGATTGCGTAGGAATGATTGAATCAATCTACGAATCGTATTCTCGTCACTAGCCACCTCCCCATGGCTAAGCTTGGGCTCGCCTTGGTTAAAGGAGACCAACTCCATCACGACAATCTGCTGCTTGAATTGAAAGATGTATAGAACAAAGCTAACGGCTTCATAACCATTTTATAATAGCTAGCTCCAATAGAAGTAGCTAATAATGCTAACTTCATATATATTGACTCTCATATTTCCCTTCTTGGTAACTAATGCTCGGGTAAGCAACCTAGTTGACCGGATGTCTACCTTATTAGGAATTAACGATTGCATCGTTGGCAAAATTAATTATTTACTAGGATCATAGACTGATAAAAATTTTACCTAACTCTCCTTTTCTAGTTTTATCCCGTAAGACTTATTCGCGTCCTTGAGCCTACTTCATATGGATACACTCCGGATAGGAGAGTAAAAATGATTGCTGAATAAGGAGAAATTGGCTCTGGTTATACCAGATTTAGCATTCCGAGGATCCATAGTATTCCGGAAGCTAACCAGAAGGGGTAGTGCCCTCTTGAGATTCCTGGAAGCTTGCCGCCTTCTTTCAACCCGAAATGGATGAAGAGTTAATTAGAAATTTCCTAGCACGCAAGATATTAAGTATTTTAAAGAGGAACTGCGTGATTTCTGGAACAGAGCCCTATCAAAAAATCGTGCCTGCTTTCCAGGGATATGATGGGCTATATCAACCCCGTTCATCCCCCAAATCCGAAGATAACGTTATTATAATGTTACCATATCGAAGATGGATATACTTAAGGCCTTACAAAATTACAGGTGATTTGTATCGCTATCTTACAAGTGTTCGTAAAGTAGAGGGTATAACCTTTGCAGGGTATCTGCCACTTTGGTTCTTAAATACTACCAGTAGGTAGGCCATAATCCGGCCGTGTACTATATCAATATAGAGATATTGATTTAGGTAATGTTGGTTGAAGGGATTTCTAGAACTAAAGGCTTCAGCCGAAGTGTGCCTTTCTGAAAATATGATGACGAGGGGCCAGCATTTGGTCTTTATAGTTATCAGTGAAGCCAGGTAGGATTTTGATCGACAAAGACCAGCGTAAGGACCGGCCTGCTCACAATGGAAATACGATTCGGATATGCTACAGGTAGGCTAGGTATCTAATAAAAGCAACTAAATCATGACTAGCTTTTAAGGAAGAGGAGAGAAACCTTCATTGCCAAACGGAAGATTCGGGAAATCGGCCAGAACTCCTGTAATCCCATCGGTATAAGTCAACCACGCATCAGGATCTGTAGTATCCACCCATGACCACAATTCGTCGCTACTTGGGCGCGAAAGATCGAGTGGAGCGTCGGGGTTATTCCATCTCATGATGCATTCCCTCTCCGTGTTAGGGGATGCTGGCCGCCCGCCATTTGATTTCAGTATATGCACCAAATTGTCTACTTTGGCACAAAGTGAGCGGGTTACGGCTGCTGCCCGAACGGCTATCGAATTCCTCGGGTCCGCTGCACTGAATATTTCTAAGGCTAGCTGGACATGATGGCGAGCAGCAGGCGCATATATGCAAAATGGATATCCCATAAGGAAGCCAATCAAGGTAAGTAGGGCATTCCACTGCCATTGCCATATTTCACCATGCCCGCAGAGCACATCGGTGGTAGACATGATGCGATGAGTGAGGTCTACTGTAGCTATAGCATGCTGTAATGCTGTTGTCGCATGAGCATCTCTCTGGGGATTGCTTTTTGGAATTAATAGCCCAGCAGGGAAACAGATAAACGGTCGATGCAACCCGATTATCTCGTCATAGTACTGAAGCTCAAGGAAAACTTCCCCTAAGGCTCGAGACGGGCTCATATCAGCTACGGAAGAGATCCAACTATAAGTCTCCTTGCTATCCCATTTACTATCTACATGAAGTAGGCGCCCAAGAGCCGGGCGTAGCTGTTGATCCCTCCACTCATGTAGCCGGTAAACTTCTATGGAGAGGGCGGATGCGCGTGACACGACTTGCGCGAGGCGATCCTCATTTGGAAGACCTGGATGCCGAGTAAGGGCCTCAGTCACAGCTAGTGTAGCCTTGGTGAGAGTGATCGCCCGGGTATGATAGGTAAATTCATCTGTAGGTGGTGGAGGGCAGGTTGTATCAGCAAGTTGTACCCCAACCGGACGCCCCAGTAACCGTGCACACCGGAAATTAAGATGAATAATAGTCCACCAGATGCGCCGGGCTAGATAGACATTCGGGTCAGAATCCGGTAGCCCATGATGCAAATCAAGTGCCTGTGCAATGCGCAAGGCTAACCCAATCATATTATACGCAGGCTGGTGTTCACCCGCATCAAGGAGGTATAAAGTCATGAGGACATAGCACTGTAAGCATTCCAATGATGGCTCTGCAAAAACAGCATACTGACTGGTGGCGGCTAGGCAACGCTTGAAGTACGCAAGAGAAGGGCCCCCTTGCTCAAAGCGTAAACTTAGCAGACGACGACTTAAACCTGAATTGTTCAGGTAGTTCAAGCAGAGAGCAATGATACCATCTACCACAGGGATAGCCTTCAACTCGGAACCATCAGGGGCCCATAAAGTTTCAAAAAGTGAATCCACATGGGCACGATTGACAATAGGTTTAAGAGGATGGCATCGTGCCCAGTAGATATCCAACACGTGTTTTATCTGTGATCGAGAGAGCACAGTACTAAGCCCGTTATTCTCATTCAGTAGCGATTGACCATCTGGAGACGGATAGGGGGGCGGTGGTGAGTCGCCTACGGAATCAGACGACAACTGAGAGATTGTAGAGCAAAAAGCGTTGATTTTAGACATGAATCCAACTGTTGAATCCATTCCATCAGGCCTTAACGAGACAGGACTAGACGGAGTAGGCTGCGAATATTGGCCGACCGGCTCCTGAATGGGTATTGACTCATTCTGACAAATTCGGGCATTTTCCGAAGATTGTTGGCTAGGGGGTGAGGAAACGCATTCTATATTGTTGGCCAGGCATCGCGAACAGGGTAATTCAACGTCACAACGCACCCGATGCACGCGGCAATAGTTGCATGCCCGTGCTACTTTAGACCGTCTAGAATTCCTCCGAGATGAGCGATTACCAGAAGGTGTTGACGCAAATGTGAAGAACATGGTAAAGCTAAGATGAATTAAAAATCTGTTCCAACATTTTCCCAGTCACACTGAGTAGGTGAATAGGTGAAGAAATTATAACAAGATGAGATTATTTGAATTAGTGAAGTTGAAATATTACTAATAATTGTGCTAATAATTGAGAGGTACATAGTATATTATAGCGAGATACAGCGCTGTAACTTGTAGTGACCGGCCTAAAGTAAGCCCTTACACCCCACTCCCTTCAAAAATTAAACCATCAAGTAATACCCTATGAATTCTCATAAATGTCATCGTACGTAAGACTTATTGGTATATTGTTATCATAAGCCTCTTAATTCTTGGTTTTCATTCAAGGTACCTAGGTATCTAAGTAACTCTTAACGTGAAAATAATAACAATAGTGAAAGAGGCAGATTCTAGTTTGACAAATATCCAAGAGAGGGAGGACTGACCCCTTTTCAACAGATTGCTGGTTCGTTTCGTAATTATAAATTATAAATCCGCAATACCAAAATACCAATCAAGGTATATTCATATATGAGTACTTACCTATTAGAAACTACAATCTTTATATTGTGTAGCGGCTAGAGTACGATAATAATTAAAGCAGCGAAATATGTCATTGAAGGTATCGTGGCTCACTAAGGTGGGGATGGTTCACGCTGCGCTCAAAAAATACAATCCTATTAAACATCGAATTACCCTTTATCGCTATGCACTCATAAGTCGTCAGTTATCCCAATCCAATCATAATGCCTCCACATCTTTCAGCTCATTAGCAGTCCATTCCCAAAGCTTATCAGCCAGCGCCTCATCTTCAGCCAGCTTCGACGGTGCCGTCTTCTTCCCGACCGGCTCATAATATTGCCCATTCTCTAATTTCTGGAGCGGAGCCGTAGCCGCCCACAGCGGGTTATACGCGCATTCCGCCGCGCTCTTTAACAGGAACCTGGAGGCTGAAATAAGTCGCTTTAATATAGACTGCTTTGTATGCTCTAGCAAGCCCGTATTACCAACGCCCGGGTGCACGGGGATGCTGATGATTTGCGGATAGTGCTTCGCCATCGCTTTGCAGTACAGGATCTGCGCCAACTTGCTCTGCCCATATCGCGCGAATTCGCCGGCGGCTCCGGGCTCTCTCAAGTGCTCGAATTGAATACCTCCAGGCGGAGCGTAGTTGTGGCCGTACGATGTGACTTCGACGTGTCTTACGTCGGCCCCGCTCTCGGCTGTGCGCAGCAGGATGGGACGCAAAAGCTGTAGCATCACAGCATGCCCGAAGTAGTTACTACCCCATTGAAGCTCGAATCCCTCTTCCGTTAATCCGGGAGGCGTAGCCATCATGCCAGCGTTGGCAATGAATATATCAAGGCGATCTGACTTGAAGCTCTCAGCAATAGCTTGTCGGATCTTGGCACGGGGTGAGCAGAGATCACACTTAACGAAGGTGATCTCAGTGTTAGGACCCTTAGCCTTTGCGGCAGCAAGAACTGCAGCACCGGCTTCTTCATTTCGACCGGTGAAGTAAATATGAGCGGGATTGTGTGAGGCCAGGAAGAAAACTATTTCTTTCCCAATACCTGAGGTACCTGGATTATAGGCAATTAGTTAAAACTCATCTAACCATATGTTAAGTGCTTAATATAGACTCACCTCCTGTGACAAATACAACTTTTCCCGATAAATCAGGTATATATTTTTCCGGGTTGAAAGAAGGCATCTTAGGTGGGCTATGGATGTTATTAACAAACAAGAATTGGGTGAAGCAATATCTAAGCCCTATATATACCAGATATAAGATAGGTGCCTTATGCGTATAAAGCGTTATATAATCCAGATTGATCTCAGCTTCGGGAAATATCATCTTCCCGAGATACCGGATTGTGGCTGAGTGCTATTCAGCTCATATGACTCTGAAATACATATATCCCTATTGTTAGATCATTATTGGATCATTATTAGATACAATTACGGCTGTTTAGGTCTGGTTTGTTTGTCTTAGGTAATATTAGGATCTCATATACCTCGCCATCCCCCAATCGCAACGTCCAACCGGTAGTAGCTCTTTAATCCTCACTCGGAGTGAAGGGACCACCCCACCCCCGAGGAAGGCTTCTGGAGAGTAGGTACTCGGCGGGGTGATGGTCAAAAAATTGGGTCCGGACCTCCGAACATAGCGATTTGCTATATTCCAGAACTATGACTCAAAGATCCAGTCCTCAGTAAATTGACCATACTCAACATCAGAGTTGCTCTTGAAAATATCCTCATACTTCTCAATCTTGCTTAATGGGTTTTTCGCTTGTCGGAAGTACTCCTGGATCTGGAGTTTTATGGTTGGGTCATTCCACATCTTCGCCATCCACTTCAAACCGTCTTCACTAATCCCAGTCAGGGGTAGTTGGTAGCTGCGAAAACGCTACACTGGGGTATAAGTAATAGTAAAGATACGGATTCAAGTCTTCTAGACACTCACCCATAGAACAGGCCAGAAAAAAGCATCGGCAATACTAAAGCCGCCGAATAGGAATCCTTCATCTTCGTCGCCCAGCTCTTGCAGCCTTTTCTTAGTATCTGCTCGCGCCTTGCTCCAAAGTTCAACCATTCCCCTGATCTCTTTTGCAACAGATTCGCTGAGGGGAATATTGCCAGAATACTTGCCGAGGAAGTTGGTCGCATACGTATTGCGAATTTCACTGAAACCAGAATGCATCTGCGCTACTGCCGTTCTTGCCAGTGCCCTTAACTTGAGGTCCTCTGGCCACAAGTGAAGCTCTGGGTGCTGCTCTGCCAAAAACTCGCTTATAGCGAGAGAGTCGGCGATTACAAAATTTTCGTCTTCCTCACCTACCTGTAAGGCAGGGAGCAGACCTTTCGCGAAACGTGCCGGCGGTGCGGCGGCCGGATTATTCATGCCATAAAGCTGGATGTCGCAGGGTATATGGAAGTATGAAAGAATAAGTTCTACCCGCGATCCCCAACCTAATACATATACCAATGGTTAGTTTTCAAGTTCATTAATTATATTAGCTTCCTCGTAGTGTTTAACGTACTCGAGTATCGGGTAAAGTACACATGAAGAGTGTAGTCTGTCTTTGATTTGTTATCTGCCATTATGATGATGGAATATAGGATGAACGCCAATATCGTAAAAATAAATGAAAGAAAACGGCGTCAAGATATCAGAACTTGTGTGATATTTAAACTAAAATTTGCACTAGAGTATCGTGAGGGGATGTCATGAAAGTCTGCATCGTAAGCCATCAATACGCTACTATACCCGGCCGATCACGGAAAACAACGAAGTTGTCAATTGACTCATGAAAGACCCACTAAGTTATACCTATACCTAACACCAAACGGATATAGTAAGATAAATTCGTAGAACTATTATTGACAATATGTAGAAATTATGATGCATTCCACGGGATAGGACCGACAATATCTGGTTCATCTTTCCATCTTTGTTCCGTATTAACATCCAACCTGAAGAGCTCGGGGCGCTTATAATGGCCTGCTCCATCAACATACGTCTTCACCAGATCTAATTCAGATAGATCAATATCTGCAGCGATTATCATATCTTTGCTGCCTGTGTAAGGACCTTTGATAATCGAGCAAAAGGGGTGAATGATAGTAGTCCAACCACCGCCGGCCGTCACCTTGTCCTGTGGACCTAGATTCTTTTCCATCCATTGTAGACACGTCTCGTCAACGTAGCTACTAGGGCAAAGTACGAATACTTGCGCAGTTAAGGCGTGCGTCTTCATCAATGCCTCAATTTGTAAGCACGCCACATCCTCAAACCCTTCAAGAATATCAAGGGCCGGCCAGCAGCCAACATGGATGTGCTCGCCCTGATCGATAAGGGCTTGCCGAGCCCCATTTATGGTATGCTCCCAGCATGCAAGCGCACCAATTTTATAGCCAGTACCTTTGGGCTCATAGCTCTTAAGCGTGTAGCCAGATCCCTGTCCCCATACAAGTCGTTCTGCCCATGTAGGTTGAACCTTGCGATGGACTCCTAAGATGGTACCGTCTGCGTCGATAGTTACGATGCTATTGAATAACGTGTATCCATCACGCATACGCTCGGATATACCCAAGACAACGACTATCTTGTGTTTCGCGCATACGGCTTGTACTTCGCCGAGATCATCTGGTACTACAACACTCTGCGCTGCGTATAGCGCTACTGTCGAAGCGTTGGGCGCATAGCAGTTGGTGAAGTAGGGAAATCCAGGTACGAACACTTCTGGGAAAGCGAGAAGCTCGATAGACTTGCGTGATGCATCGGAAATGGTGTCAATTACTTTACGCAGGCTGGCAGCCTTATCCATATATACCGGGGCGGCATGTACAGCAGCTACTTTAACTTTCTTATTCAGCATTTTAGAGCCTTTCTAATGGTGATCCAAATAGCAATATGTTATACATAGGAGGTAGGTTCAAGTCGATTATGCCACATTAGTAGCTATAAACTCAGGATGAGAGGTGAGGGGTTCCCCCCTTTTCAACATACCTGACCTAATTCATGGTAATCAGCCCTATCATCAATAGCGGGGCGTCGTACTCCCATCGGCACTTGCATGTCGATCATTTCAAAGTTCTTTAATTATCCGAATCATACCTAATATTTCTTCCCAGCTCAAACGCTACTAGATATCCTAGACTCGATGGCATGCCATGACCGTCTCAGCTTTTACCTTTGGTAGCAGCTTTGGTCTTCAAGTATATTCCATTAAGGAAAAACTATAATATATTTATTTAACTACCAGTTCTCTTGTTCCACTATTTGTTAGAAATTTAATTCCTCCGATCAATCGCCAAGATATTAAGAGAGCGTACTTTATCATTCATCATGAGATCATCTGCTTCTGATGGTGTTTATTTTATTTGCAAATGAAAGGCAGTTGCTTGATCTATTGCATTTGCTCCTAGAACGTATGTCAGACGGTAAACGAGCAATCATATAGTTTGAAGTCCAGTATTTCAAAGCTAGCAAATAACCAATAACAGGCCGGTGAGGTTGAAAGCTATAAAGCAGAGGTCAGGGTATAGTTTCGTAAACCCCTTCTCATATTATTCAAGGTGTAAAAGGGTACGATACGGTCCATAGCAAACCAGTACCACGTGAACGTTTACGACTGGTATCAACCATGCGGAATAATTCATGTGACTTTTACCATAGCCATTTGTATCTTACCCAAAGATATTTTTTAAACTATTAAATCACAACCTGTAGCCAAGGTTTTGATTCATAACCTAGGTGGATCTTCGTCACGCAATGATTGTATTGAGCTGGGGTAGGTTATTCACTTAGGACTTTGACACTGCAAATCACTTAGGTCTCTAGCGTCTGTGAATTCCATGATTCAGACTCAATACCGCTCTTACACGTATAGATATCTATTATTCAGGTCTATTTCCATCCCAATTCTCCCAGTTACCAAGCCCCCTTACTAGTGACTTAGATAAAATTGTTCAAGACACTACAGAGGTAGGTACGCAAATGACGAAGTAAGGTATGATCAAGCACATAATCCTAACTTACGGGACTAAGGATAATATATACGTACCCCTATTTAATGCCAGAAATTTTCCTATATAAATAATTCCTCCATCCCTCGAGTTCTTCCTCTCTATACCTTTACTTTCCAAGCTACCCTTTCGGCCATCATTACCTAAATATTGGATCATTAAGAAACCATAAACTTAAACCCATATCTCTCCGGGGAAACACTCTTATCTATTAAAGTTCATCGTGAGCTCTATCGGCTGGATAGTTAAGTTATTAACTAATCTCAGACAGTTACAACCGTATCTCATGATGTCGTCGACAACGGATATTGAGTTCCCCAGCTACCTCGAGGCAATTTTTCCGGACCCATCCTCCTTTCCCATATTCCACCTCAGCCCATACGCTCATAATTTGCGCTTCACGGTTACCGTACATCCTCTCTCTGAGAATCTCCCACTTATGATTCTATATGATGGTTCTACCAACAATGGTAGTGTCCTGGCAACAGTCAGTAAGCCGGAGAAATACCATGGCACCAACAACACCACAGTCCAGGTTGAATACACTGCCACTATTCTGGCTATCCGCGATGGTGATCTTCATAGACTGTATAAATTCTCATTACAATTAGAGTCACGCCACGAGAGGTTTGAATGGAGACCCACCCAAGGAAACGAGGTGTGTAATATGTTCAGGCACTCCCATGGATTCAAGTTGGTACGACTTAGAAGTAATGGTCCCGGAAATGGAAAGGGTGGGAAAAGAGACCACAGACATATGGATGAGACTAGCGATGGGAAAGAGGTAGTCGCTGTTTGGGCAACTGATAGTAACTGGATGCGTCAATTGGTATCAACCAACAGACCATTCAAATTTGAGTTGCGTGCAAGTGGCAAATCTGGGGAATTGGGCAGCCAATTTGGCTATTTCGCCTTAATTACGGCACTAAAGATCTGGAGCTACGAGACTCAAGGACTATCTACCTAGGTAGCTTTACTAATTCTTCGTAGATTAGGTAGTTGATAAACTTCTGAGGAATAAGAGAAGGGCTCCTAAAGGCAGTTCTAGGCATCATATTTTAATATTACGCTATGATTTACCAGCTGTAATGTAAAGAATTATTTATGTTAAAGTGGGATTTAGGTAAGACATCAGCTCCTGTGTAAGCATGTAGGGTTCTAGAGATGATAAATATAACGATGGTGTTTATAGCAAATCATGCTTTCTCGGAGCTCCTTCATATTATGTACCTAAGGTTTCTTAGGTGATAAGCAGCTGTCAACTTCATCCTACGACCCACCCAGTACAGCTCATATAGATATCTGTATGCAAACAAATATTAGTGTTATTAAACAGTCCCGTTTTAATTGCCGGTGTGCAAAATATTTACGAATCTTTAGTTAATTCGCACATCTTCTACCCACCAGATATCCGGTAACATTTCCCCCCAAGACTCTCAATCTCATATTTACTTCCCTCCCTCATCCATATCCGTTATTTCTTATACGTGATTCTTATTTCAATATACGATTCAAAGAGTCAATAGCTCAGTTCTCTCCAACATCAAAATCACCGAGTGCTTTTCTCCGGATCATCAGGTACTAGAACCACCATTCCAGAATTATTTCAGGGACGTAATAATCTCAACACTACTCTAAGTCGGGATTCAAGCCTTAGCTCTATCGTAGCTACTCTAAATTGGCAATCCTTTAACACTATTATCTACGTCTACACGCCTTGCCACTCAAGGTTATAGTAAGTTCTGACTGCAAATAACGAGATTGATTACAAAACTAACAACAATATGAAGAGATTCCAACATGGCCGAGGAATTCCCCCATTATCTAAAGGCTTTCTATACCAATCCTTATCAGACGAAATTCAGTCTCGGTCAGCACGCTCACGACCTCCGCTTCACAGTGTCGAGAGGGCCTATCGGATCAAAGACAATTCTCGTTCTTCATGAAGGATCGACCACAGACGGCCAGATCTCGGCAATTGGGAAAGAAACAGGAAGGTTCCATCAGGGATATAGGATGGTCAACGATATTATCCCTCCCCCTCTCATAGGAGAATATCCTAGCACTTTCACTTCAACTATGACCCCTAAGCAGGAGTTTACTCATCGTTGGTACCCGTTCTCAATGGAAGTGGGCGAGGGTGAGGAATTACACAGCGAGAAATTTGAATGGCGGCCTACCCGAGGCAAAGAGGTGAAAAACATGTTCAACCACGCCAAAGGGTTTAAGCTGGTACGAGTTGGGGCCGAAGGACCTGGCGACGGACAAGGCGGGAAGAGGCAATCGAGACAGCTAGGGGAGAGCAGCGATGGCAAGGAGGTGGTCGCCGTTTGGGCAACCGAAAGAGTTCTGGTGCCTATAAGCCGCGGCCCGTTCAAGTTCGAGCTCCTTGGTAGCGGCAAGACCGGCGAGTTAGGTCGACACTTCGGGTACATGGCTCTTATGACGGCGCTTGAGACCTGGTGTTTTCAGATTCTGAGAATACAGGACGACTTCCCTCCTTGTGCCACTCGCCATTGATATCCAAGGAGCAAGGAATTTTCAAGAAGTGCATTATGTTTCTTAGGTACTTAAGATAGAGTACACATGATTCATGTTTATGGTACTCGCAAATTTGCTGTTATAGCCTCTCTCCAGAACCAGAATATAATTGTGGGCAATAATGAAAGTTCCATCAGTAACGACGATGCCAAGAAAATTCAGTAGACTATATGATTTTACTACTATGCGTATCTGAAACCGCGCACCGAGGTAATTTTAACATATTATATGATGTAATTACGAGTCCGGTTCCCCTTAATTACATCATTTATTCAAGCTAACCGCTATGTGCCTATCTAAAGCCATAATCTACAAGGGAGAGGACAAGTTCATAAAGAAGATACACCGAGATACTTCATCCTTTAGTATTCTATATAAGTTTATGCTAGGTCAAATACATGAATTAATGTATAGGGGAGGTTCTAATCACGAGGGAAACAAAGGGAGATGTCTTGACAATCATTATTCTAATCGCAAGGTTCATTATGTTGTCGATACAAACATTTTATTACGACAAAGGGACTGAAATTTCATATCAACTAATCCACTCACCACAAATTTAGATACAATATCTCAGAAGCACCTAGTAGTTGGTTGAAGTGCTTGAGGATAGGTATCACTAGAATATGGGGGTATTTCCTGTCCAGCTCCTCCAGGATCTATTCTTAACTATATATTAACAAAGAACCCTGTCAAAGATTGCCATTATGGCTATATCGGTTATCTCTTCTTGCAATTCAGCAAACAACGACTACATAAAAACCCTCATGATTAACTATGCCTTTTCAAATTACAAATATCTCATGACTCCTAAAGAAGCTGAGGAGATTTTAACGAAACCATATTGGGACGATGTTGATGCTTTTTGTAATTATAGTATGTAATACCAAGAATCCCTCTCCTTCCCCTTTCTAGGCTGCTACGGGAGCCAGAAGTTCTTAACCGATTGTTTTATTTTAGGAGTTATCACTTCCGATGCGCATTCAAATCACCACATATACCCATCTTCCTAGAAATAACACATATTAACCTTAGTTATTAAAGTGATACAAGCGAACTTCGGACAACCAGTGTCTAGCACAAGTAACGTAAGGCTTCCTAGCGCAATAAATATATACACTGACGAAGAGCTCAACGCCATGGAGTCAGGGTCGGTTGAGCTCTTACCTCCTAGGAATGCGGAACTTGACACGAACGAAGAGTTGAATGTGGGAAATACGCAGCCAACTATGAGCGAAAATCAAGAAAACAATGTTAGATCTATGTCACAGCCCGATATTAGAATCACTGAAGGGGATTTAGAAATCGAATCTGAATTTGAATACGAATTTGAAGGCGAGTACCTTCCTCCATATACCCTTGAAATTCTTCCAACATATACTACTTTCGACATTACAGAAATTCCATCCGGAGACCTAATAAGTGTCGAAGAGGTTAGGGAAACTAGTAACACGGAGGATATCGCTATATATGATACCATTGAAGGGAATCATGATGAAAGAAGAGTACGGAGCACCTTAAGATTTGATAAAATTTACACTATAAGTTCAAGAGTGGACAGGAAGTTCCAGAAGGTGAAGCAAAAGCTCGCGTGCGGCTTTAAGAGTATTTCACTCAAGAAAGCTCTAGTCAGGCTTAACCCTTGGAATCGGAAAAGAAGATCCAAGAAAGATAGTAGGTATACGGAGATGGGCTTTTCCTTTTACCCGTCATAATAAGAAGCCTAAGTAGAGAGGTAGTTAGGTGTTCAGACTACCTCTCGTGGCTTCGATGCTTCGATGCTTGGGTATAATTGTCACCTGTTAATAATGTTTAAAAGTATATAGTTACCTATGTTTAGTTGAATAAAAATAAAGTTATTAGTTTAAAGATTTGACTCCATAATAGTATTAGTATCTCCTGAATGGTTACCTAATGACGTAACATCGTGGACCCCCACCTCAGCCCACCGCAGCCCACCGTTACATAACATTGTGCCTGGACTAGGCAACTTTTAGAAGATATGCATCGTCATATAATTATATAATTCTATATTACAAACCAAAAAGACATTCCATCGTTCTAATCCGTTAAATGCCACCTTTGAAGTTCCAATCTGTCAAATTATAGTACTATAAATGTAAAGACTAGCGCATAAACTTACACTCGAATGAATGCTTAGTCCCGCGCCAATTCATCTCCTTAGCAATCTTTCTAGGCGCAAAATGTCATCTTCACCAAAAGAAATTACGATAATAGGAGGCGGCATTATTGGTTGCTGCACCGCTTATTTCCTTACTCGACATCCTTCTTATTCTCCAGAAACGCATCACATAACACTCCTCGAGGCTTCTACTAGCAATGCCGGAGGACGTACTACAGATAGCATCACTGATCCAGCTACGTTAGTTGATCCCGAGACCGCCTCAAAGAGGAATCCCGCCCACGACGGAATTGCCGGAGGTGCAAGCGGTAAGGCAGGTGGTTTGCTTGCGCTGTGGGCTTTCCCTCAAAGTATCGTACCCTTGAGCTTCAAACTACACGATGAGCTTGCGAAAGAATACGACGGGGATAAGAGATGGGGATATAGACGATGTTATGCAAGCCAGATCGATTGCCAGGCGCGTCTTCCACCCGGTTTCAGTGATAGGAACAGTATAGGCGGCGAGACGGAACATATCAGCAATAGTACGGAGCGGGGTTCAAAAGGACTACATAAAAGCCACAAGAAAGGAATCAAAGCGCTGGAGAAACTTGGCGCCCCCGATGATCTGGATTGGCTAGATACTGAGGAGTCGCTCACTGCTTACGAGGGAATGGGTACTCCGGATAATACAGCGCAGGTACATCCTGAACTGTTCACCAGAAGCATGGCTCAATTGGCTGAAGAAAAGGGGGTCAAGATCGTGACGGGCGCAAGGGTTACGGCTATCAACAAGACGCCAGATGATGGGAGCGTGGAGAGCGTGACATACGAGAAAGATGGAAAGGAGGAGATATTGCCGACAACAGATTGTGTAGTAGCTGCCGGCCCATGGACACCGCGTCTACTGCCCGAGATCCCCATTAACGCAGCCCGTGCTCACAGCGTCGTCATCAAGACGCCAAAACTCGTATCCGCATACGCTCTCTTCACTTCAATCAGGCTCCCGAACGGTTTCCCCACCCCAACACCTAGAGACTCTAGAGGAGCGCCAGGTGCACACCGGCCACTGAGGGGGCAACAAATTGTTGAGCCTGAAATCTACGCACGACCAGACGGTACCGCATATGCTTGTGGGCCTACAGATGATATGGTCGACCTACCATTAACGACCGCCGAGGTCGAAGTCGACGTGGCCCGATGCGAGGACATCATATATCAACTCGGCGGCATAAGCGACGATCTAGGCAAGGACGGCGAGGTCCTTGCGAAGCAGGCGTGTTATCTACCACAAGGCGGGCCTTATATAGGCAAAGTAAGCCACACTAAGGGGCTTTTCGTTGCCGCAGGGCATACGTGCTGGGGTATACAAAATGCGCCTGCGACAGGGAAGCTCGTCAGTGAGATTATCTTAGACGGTGAGCCGAAGAGCGCAAGGCTAGGCAGTTGTGATCCGTCGTTAGTCTTATGACCTGGTTAGATGGGCGTAATATAGAATGGCGTAGCATACCTAGGTAGACATATAAGTATGTGAATATTATAGGTGACGATATAGTAGAGAGGCCTGGAGCTTCGTATATTAATGAATATAATCCCGGGGGCGGAAGTCATCGTTGCTTAAAACTGGTGGCTAGAAGAGATAGATTTGGGTCGTTATGTGTATGCTCGTTTGACCTCGTCTCGGTGAAACTAGACTTCGCTTCGACCATGCTTATAGATTGTTACATAGTTCAAATTATACAATTTGAGTCGAATCTATTTTAAAAGTTAGGAAAGAAAATCGGCTTCAACTATGTACCGTAGCTCCACTAGACCTACACTTGGGATGGATCGGCCTCGTGCTATGGCAAAAATAACCATGCATACCTTCAATCTCAGAGACGCTCGCCGCTACGATTTTTCAACCAGACAGTTTCCCATCGTGACACTCTTCCGACACTTAGGGGAATCCGATACCGGGATGTAGTGCAAGTTGCCAGCGAAAGCGATGTGAGATTCATATCGGCGAGTCTTACCTACATCTCACCTAAGTACCGTTTAGTATAGGGGTTCAGAGTTCGTTTGTTTTGCACGACACCGGTGGCTGAAGCTGGACAACTACTTGTCGCATTTGGAGGTTCAAAAGCTGTCTACGAGGAGGTCAGCCCCTTTCTCAAAGGAGTCATCACACGCGAAGTCTTTCTGGTCAGCAAGGAGCCTAAAAAGGCTACTTTACTGAAGATAACAGGGTACGGTTCTCCAACTTAACCCCTAATCTCGTTACAGGTACCTGGAAGTAGATAACTGGACTTATGGAACTCATAGTAGAAGCGCACGTTTTCGAGAGAACGGAGCTAGGCTCGGCCGCACTAGAATGTCTCCTGCAGCTTAACTTCGGTGCCGTCGCGCACTTGGATCCAGTGCGTACGTGCCAGTGAAAGACCAGGCGCCATGGTCGGACCTATATCTTGCGCTGAAGGACGTAGGACACGGTGTTGACTGTGCCGCACGCGCAGGCGTCCGGCTCGAAATTGCTAATATGGTGCTCGAGCACCTACGTAGGGTGAAGGAATACTCGGAACGAAATGGCTTGACTCTTCGTCATTGTACGGTGTTGTGGGGGAGTATGCGGGACTGCACTTCAGGACGGAATTTGTAAAGAAGCGGGATAGGGAAGAATAAGTCCTGTGTCTTCTATTTGCATTCATAATTGATATCCCATATAACGTCAGCATCGTTGGAATTCAAATAGATCCAATATTTTCGAATGGCATATTGCAAGATCTGAGGGACTACTATATTCGGCATATATATACGAGATAGGGAGACGACACCATCCAATTATCCGTATTACAAATCGGCTCTTGCCTCTTCTCCAGCCCAAGCTCGTCGGATCAGCTCTCTTATCGGCCCCCTTTCGATAGGTCGCGGGTTCCAATAAGGGTTGCTCACCGCTATGTCTGCCGCCTTGTCTATATCGCTCTCTTGCATCCCTAAAGCCTTCAGTCCCGTTTCTACTTTCAACTTCTTTAAGAGAATATTAAGTCCTCTCGTGGCGTCACCTTCACTCTCCGGTAGTGCGGCGGCTAACGCTTCCATTGCCCTAGGGACCTTCGGGGCATTATATGATAATGCGTGCGGTAGGACTATGGTATGCGTATCAGAGTGCGGGAGGTTAAAACTACCTCCTAAAGTGTGGCAGAGCTTGTGATGGATGGACATTCCAACACTGCCGAGACAAGTACCGCAGAGCCATGCGCCATATAAAGCAGATGAGCGTGCCTCTTGCGATGACGGATTGGAGACCAGGGCAGGGAGAGAGCTTGCAAGAGCATTTACCCCTTCTTGAGCAAAGAGATTAATAACCGGGTTAGTATTGCGAGCATATAACGCTTCGACAGCATGCGCGATCGCGTTAACGCCACTTGTAGCGGTAAGACCAACTGGGAGGGTCATGGTGAGATCAACATCATAAACAACTGTGCTGGGCAATATCTTCGGATCGGATCTTGTCGTCTTCCTTCCAGCATCCGTCTCACCCAAAATTGGCGTAACCTCACTACCAGCGTAGGTTGTCGGGATAGTCAAGTGAAAGATACCTGTCCGGATACTGAGTGCTTTCCCTAAACCCACTGTGCTGCCACCTCCGATGGAAATAATGGAGTCGGCCCCTGAGGATTTAACTTGCTCAAGCGCCTTCTCAGTTACTTCGACTGGTGTATGCATTGTTGCTTCGGTAAATACCCCAGAGACGATATCTCCAAGAACACCCTTAAGTAAGTCGATATGGCTCACCTGCTGAGGCGTGCTGAGAAGAAAAGGCTTAGATACATTTGCCCGTCGAAGCTCTTCTGGAACCTTTTTGATAGTGCCGCTTCCGAAGACGATACGAGCAGGACTGGAATTATATTCGAAATTCTCCATGTTCAATATTATGCTATAACACTGGAATACAGAAATATTTATAGTGAACAGAAGTTATTTATACCAACTCTCCAAGACTGGCAATATTGAAAATGGCAATCCTCAAGAGGTTCTGGGTATACACTTACTTATTAGATTCAAGTCGTACTAGATCTCTACTTACCTTGCCGGGCTAATAGGTTCCGCATGAGTACGATAGCAGCACGAATTGAGTAAATACCCTCCGGTATCAAGTGCCGACGCTACGTGATGCAATGGGGGTCGGCATCGTTATGCCCGCTAGAGTATTCCCCGCATCGGGAACAGAGGATCGACTCAGATCAACTACAGTTGATTTTAAGGATTGAGAACAAAGGTTGAGAGTATAGGTAAATCAATTAGCCTATCAAAAGGGGGCAAGAAGGACGTGTAAGTTAGACAAATGAATTAGTTATGTGATGAAGTTTCTTCAACTGCGCAAACATGTATCATTCACATCTCGTCATAGTGATATGAGTACGAAGTGCACGTCAGGTAGTATATCGACTTTAATAATAATTTCCCAGATGAAGAATTTTTGACGATATTCAATGACATATAATGTAGAATAACCTATTTTTAGAAATAACTTAGCGGAGTGTGCATTTCTTGAGCGCAATGTCTCAATGTTATTCAATCTGTCAATAATTGAAAGAAATGTTGAAAGGGTCTAGAAATATACCCCTGCAAGTTGACCCTTGTAATCAGATAATCTATCAAGTTTAGCGCTGTGATGTGTCAGTAGCCTATGTACCCCACAATTATGTGCTCAGCTAACCTACGATTTCCCAGTTTCAAGCCGCTACCTAAGTACATTACTCCATCCCTAGGGCAACGACGTTACCACTTGTAAACAATTCCTGCAGGTCTGCAACCTCTATCTTGAAACCATGTGCTATGCATTTTACAATTTCAACGTCTGCACATTCCTAAAAACTTAATACTAACCATTGACTTTTTTTGTTTCGTGGCAGAACCGCGTTCTCGCCGATCAGTGATAATTTAATTTTGAGACATTTTAAACCGATTAACTACCTTATCGTTCCAAGCGAGCAAACGTCAGGTTCACCGACATTTCGACCGAAAATATAGAGAACATTATTGCCTTTTTTGAGGGAATTGGGGAGGATGCCTACGGCCACAGATGGCCCGACAGTTTCCCTGTCGTGTATGAGCCCTATTCTTGAAGCCGGATTGGAATTTCAAGGTACTAATATCGTATGAATAGTTGCCAATAACTTTTGGGGCAAAGATGACGCTGGTGTAGGGCCATTGCTTGATCGCATGGCCTCTGCGAAGCAGACCAGCGATGAGCTTAGATCTTTCTATAGTGGTAAGTCTTTCCTAACCATTTTTACCCCTCCAATAAACTAATTGGTCCGTGTTGCTAGCCCGGGCCTCTATCGAAGATGAATACGCACGCAAGCTTATGTCGTTAAGCAAAAAATCGTTGGGTACCCACGAAATGGGAAGCCTGAAATTTTCACTTGATACTATGCGAGGAGAAGTCGAATCCATGGCGAAGCAACATTCTAGCATTGCTGCTCAGATGAAGACCGAGTTAGAGGAACCGCTGGCCGCCTTTGCTGGAGGAATGAAAGAGAGACGCAAGATCGTCCAAAATACGGTAGAGAAACTTCTCAAGATCAAGATACAACAAACGAACATGGTGAATAAGGTCAGTGCCACCCATGTATTCCGATAATAATCCCTGATAACTAACAACCCCACCCAGACCCGTGATCGATATGAGCAGGATTGTTTGAAAATCAAGGGCTACCTTGCTCAGGGACATATGGTTATGGGTCAAGAAGAAAGGAAAAATAAGGCCAGGCTAGAGAAGACACAGATCAGCCTTGCTACAACCAACACCGAATATGAGAACGCAGTTAAAGTTCTCGAGGAGACGACTGCAAGGTGGAATAGGGAGTGGAAAGCGGCCGCCGACAAATTCCAGGACTTAGAGGAGGAGAGATTAGACTTCACCAAGAGCAGTCTATGGACTTTCGCCAACATTGCCTCCACGGTCTGTGTTAGCGATGATGCTTCGTGCGAGAAGATTCGTTTGTCTCTAGAAAAGATGGATGTAGAAAAGGATATCATGCACTTCATCACCGAGAGGGGTACCGGCCAAGAAATCCCAGATCCACCCAAGTATATCAACTTCTGCCGTGGGGACGTGGAAGACACTCATTCAGAAATCTCCGACGATGAGAACTATTCTGTAGCGCAATTTCCGCGGAGTATCAATCCTGCGTTTCGCACGTCTTCCCCCCAGCCATCTACCTTCGAGTCGCATCATGATCCCAACTCCGCTCTTGCTCGAGATCTGGCACATCATGAACCTCCTCCTCCCTCCAGCAGAGATTTAATCATGCCTCCGCCAAAGCCCCAGACCTATGCCATAGCTCAGCAAGATAGGCGGCGAGGAAGTGTCATACAACCGCAGCAATATCCTCAAAGCATCAACCCTGGCTTCCGTGCCCCTTCACCTCAGCCATCCACATACGAATCCCACCATGATCCCAACTCGGCACTCGCCCGAGATCTCCAACGCCGAGACCCCAATCCCCCTATTACGCGGGATATACAGCGGAATGAACCTCCTCCTTCATTTCCTCGAGACACGCAGCGTCGTGAGCCCGACCTTTCCCTTACCAGAGAGATTCAACGCCACGACCCTGTCCCTTCATATACTCGGGAAGTGCAGCGTCGTGAACCTGATCTCTCCATGACGAGAGAAATTCAACGTCGTGACCCCAATCCTCCCATTCCCCGAGAAATACCCCGAGAGATGCCGCGAGAGATGCCTCGAGAAATACCACGCGAAATACCTCGGGAAATACCTCGGGAAATGCCTCGGGAAATGCCTCGGGAAATGCCTCGAGAAATTCCTCGCGAAATTCCTCGCGAAATTCCCCAAGAAGTATCTCGAGAAACGCCCCGGGAAGTACAGCGTCACGAACCTGATCTTTCTCTTACAAGAGAGATTCAACGCCGCGACCCTAATCCTCCTGCTCCTCGAGATGTACAGCGTAACGATCCTAGTCCCTCGTTTCTTCGTGATCTACAACGCCATGAAACAAATCCCTCTTTTACTAGAGACCTTCAACGTCACGATACTAATCCTCCTACTCCGCGAGATCCACCACGCAATGAGCCGCCACCAACTTCCAGTAGGGAGCCGGTTATACCACCACAGAACACCTCAGTGGCTATCATGGCTCCACAAGATCGTCGGAAAGGAAGCAATGGAGTACAATCATATGATACTTCCAAATTTGCACCGGTACCCCATGATCCGTATCCTATGGATGGTATGACAATGCTATGTCGTACGGATGGTATGAATTCGGCGACTAGCTCGAATTTGTCAGCACGGCCATCAAGCGGTGATGATAATAGCGAATATTCGAATCTAACATCTCTTTCTAGTCAAGAGCCACAAAGCGGCAAAGTGTCACCAGTGAAACAAGAGCCCGTGGTGGTGGCACAACCAGAAAAGCAAATGCAAAAGAAGAAGAGTGGATTCTTTCAGAATCACAGCCCGTTCCGTAGAAAGAGCATCAAGGACGTGAAGGCGTCGAACAGAAATACTTGGGGGCCTGTGGCTTCTCAGAGCGCGATGAGTACTCACGGTACGGTCAGCTCTCGGCGCAATCAAGCTTTTAAACCACCAGAACCTCAGAACCCTATTGCAGATAGAGTCGAGAAAACAGCGAGTCCCGACCCTATTGAGGCGAATGCAAGCCTAGCCCTGAATATTGGGCAAAACGTATTCCCTGTAGCCAATACCGATAAGAGAAAACAGACCAACGATGATAATACCCCTCCACAAGAGGAACAAGACCCGATCGCTCAAGCCCTGGCGGAGCTGAAGGGTGTTGCTAGTAACAAGCAAGCTGCTGGGCGAATCTCAGCCGATCACTATCATGGCATCGCTACGCCTGTACCCGACAGATCTCAAGCGCCGTCCCGTTCCGTACCCGTATCCAGGGAAAGCAGCGATATGGCCGCTGGTATGAGAGGTACCCCACCGCCGTCGTACGATATGCAGATACAAAGACTTGGAGTCCCGCCCCCAGCTGTTACATCTAAAGCAATGCAGGAGGCGTCGCGGAAATACGTGGAGCAGACCAGGGATATGTTCAGCGCGAAGCGTCCTGGGTCTGGAGCATACAGCGGGACGCAATCTTTCAGTGGTACTCCTTCTCGGCCTACTACGAGAGGCAGCGAAATGCCTCGTGCAGCATCACCGGCGCCTCCACGAAGCGCTTCTCCTCAACCTAGGATGCACCCTGAAACGCGTCAGCCAGAGACACGCCAAAGCCAACGGTCCGCGTCGCCAAACCCGTACAGTAGTAGCCAATATCGTAACTCGCCACAGGCAGCTTCACCTAGTACGTATGGTGGTGCCCAGCAGCAGAATTCACCACAGGCGGCATCCCCGATCTCATATAGCGCAACTCAGCGACGGGGAAATTCACCACAACCAGCACCGTCGGTTTCTTATAGTTCAACCCAAAGACAGGGAAATTCCCCACAACCATCATCAATTTCATACAGTTCAACCCAACGGCGAGGCAACTCGCCGCAACCGGCGTCACCCATTTCATATAGTGCAACTCAAAGGCGAGGAAATTCCCCACAGCCGGCGTCGCCAATGTCGTATAGTGCGACCCAGCGACGAGGAAACTCACCTCAACCAGCATCACCAATCTCGTATGGTGGTTCTCAGCAACGAAACTCACCACAGCCTAGTATGTCAGTGAAACGCGGGTCAGAACAAGGATACTTTGGGCACCAGTCGCCGAGCAATTCCATGAGGGCGAAGTCTCCATCCATCTACAATGGCGATTACAACCGCCCAACTAGTAGAGCTGAAGAGATGGCTATGCAACTTGCTCCAGTTGGAGATGGGTCCGTGTACGGATCAATGCGTGGAAGAGGCAATGGTAGGCCTGGTACAAGTTCGAGCTCACGGGCCATGACTTTCTATGACGGACGAGACCCGGTAGTAGAGAATTCGAGACAGCGAAGCCAGAGCGTAGCAGATCCGAGCCGGCAGTACACACCAGAGGGCCGGGCCATTTTACATTACGGTATGTTTCTTTTTTTTTTTCTCATCAATCACTACTATGCAGATACTAACAGTTTTATAGCTCGAGCGTTGTATATGTACCAAGCAGCAATCCCCGAGGAGCTTGGATTCGCTAAGGGAGATACTCTAGCCGTTCTCCGGCACCAGGATGACGGATGGTGGGAAGCTGAAATTCATTCAGGACAAGGTGTTGGTAGAGGTGGATTGGTACCTAGTAATTATCTGCAGCCTTGTTAAGGCCAGCATTTAAGAGGCCCTTGGTTATACTCTTGATTGACGAGATAAAGACTGACGAGGCTCATGAAAGTTGCTATCTACACGTTGTTTGATGTGAATACGTATGTTATGGGGTGTGATGAGCACATATGGGTCAGCAAGCAGGCGACTATTTTGTTTGTTTGAATTATCGGTCGTCTGTTCTTGGGAGAGCAGGCTTTCGCGCGTTCGGGGGAGCGTTTGATGCAAATTATTATTCATTGCCACTTAGGCTATCTAGGGCCGTTAAAGAACGGGGAGTTAATACGAGATTGCATTTTGACCTTTTTTTTTTATTAATAATTACTATTATCATTATTTCAAGATGAGAAATTCTCTCTGTGCGGTGATGATGATTGAAGTTCAGAGGTACGTACCTACGATGAGGTCCAGGTCATCAGCATGACGTCGGTACCCGTCGCAGAGGGGCAGCTGGGACTGCTACATAGAAGGCATGTCGGCTGCCAAGAACTCCGTCAAGCTCTACGTCGTACCTAACGTACTACAAGCCGCTAATAACAGTACATAAACCCAAACACCATCACATGCTTCAACTTTCTCAATTTTAGAGTCTATGATTTTAACCTACAACTCTTCTACTCTTAATTATTTGTGCTGCTTATTTCAACAACACGAACTCAAGAGTATCGAGAGATCAAGCGCCGCATGGCGTTTGTACATCATTTAGAAAAATGGTTAGTCACATGTTTATATTACATATATGAGAAGCTTTAAACATTCAAGCGGAAGAGTATACGTTTTTACTATAAGCATCCGTTTCGCTGATTATAGACATAGGAATACGTAAAGGGCTCTTATCGAGCTGCAACATCTCCAGTTGCCAAGAGGACATATCTCAGTGCTGCATTGTTCTTTTCTGCATCCTTGGCGCTTTTATTTATTGCTGCTTTAGCCTATCCCGTCTTCTACTATAACTACGTGCCTAAAAAGGTTATATCTCTCCCTATACATCTACAATATGAGTAAGGATCTTTCTTCTCTACTACGACTGCAGAAATTAATGTCCGGTATTATTTCAATAGCTCCGGCCTTAACCCATATGGCGTCACATCAGTCTCATCGAACCTCATGCTCGAGCAGGCCTATGATATATCAGTAGAATTAACATTACCACGATCGCCTACGAATCTTGACAGGGGAAATTTCATGGTCACTCTCTTCGGGATGAAGACTCAGCCAGGAAACCCAGCGTTCGCTTACTATTTCTCAGGGGAGGACCCCTTCTCGCATGTGAAGGAAGATACTGTAGTCTTCACGAGCCGCCGGCCCTCCCTAATCCCGTATACAGACCCCTTCGTGAAAACCGTGTCGCGTGTCCTCTTTTTACCATACCATATTCTATATCCTAGCGCATCAGAGACAACAACACTGAGAGTCCCGATGGGCGAGCTCGTCGAGTTCAACGAAATCCTCCCGATAAGCCTACTAGTGGAAATCCAAGCCGGTCAAACACTCCAGGTGTACTCAGCTACTATCACGCTTGTCGCCCGTCTGACAGGAATCCGCTGGGCCATGTATAATCACCGCATCATCTCGTTTGTGGTCTGCACAACCGTTTTCTGGATAGCCGAGATGCTATCGACGGGGCTAGCGTGGCTTATCTTGAGCTCCTTCATCTCTAACGAGAAACCTAGAGGCCCGGAAGATAAACTAAACCCCAGGCCTGGAGGTGATCGTTGGATGGGGCCACCCCCCGCTCCTACGGCATTTTTACACGACGGAGCGGGAGACTCTCATAGCGAGGGAGAGGAAATTGTTAAGAAAGAAGAAGAAGACGATGATGATGATGTGGATATTAAGGAGGAAACGCCAGAACGAGAAACATTAGCAGATCAACCAGCTGACGATGAGGAAGATGGAGAAGATGTTTGGAAGGGGAAGGATGCTGGTACTAGTTCTAGTTATGAGAAAGGGGGTAGTATACGCAGACGATCATCGCGAGGGGGTAGATCTTGATAAGGGAAGAATTTGTTAGTGTAGACTAAGATGCCCCCCTCTCGAGTCTACTTAACACAGGTATGTTCTCGAATCGCCACGTATCATGGCGAGTTATCCAGTTTAAATTATAGAAAAGCCGAGTCGCTGCTTTACTAGTCCAAGGGTGCCACATGATAGTCGAATTTGGACAGTTTCAACGATAATAATGTATGAATGAATGTACTGTGCTACTAAAGAGGTACTCGATTTATAATTGTTCTTCTCCACATTCTCCAAATACTAACTTAACCGTAACACCCGCAATCTCAGTAGTTAATTTATTTAACGATGCAAGATTTCTATCTATTTATTTATCAGGGTAGATATATATAGGTATAAACTACATGTAGGCTACGGTCTAATACACGTACATAGGTAGTTATAGTAGATCAGGCACATTCAATAGTTATGTATAAGTACCTTAGGTATCTTACATAGTAAGGTTCGTAGCGGACCAATACATTGCATACATATAAGTCCAAGACGGAGGTAAATGGATGCATCTGTTGCATGTAAGTCAGCTTAAGACAGCGTAGTGCAGCTTCGTAGCAGCTTTGACGTGTTCAGGTGACGAGGGTGGTCCCAGAATCGCGGTTAACCAATCAATTGATTTTTAGTCTCCCCCGCCATTGGGTTATGGGTTAACAACCGAACCAGGACTCGACCTAAACCTTTTTCTCATTGCAACATGTAGCAAATCTTCGCTTTTTTTTTTCTGCCACTACCTACTGCTATTACTGCTATTACTGCTACTGTTGCTGCTACAGGTACTGCTTTTACGACTGCTACTATTGCCTACCAGATGCAATAGCGACAACATTGATACAGCGAACTAAATACCTAAAGGCTTAGGTCATTCATTTACTTTTGACCTTAATCCAAAAACTTACCCTACCCTTATTTTATTTTTTTCAACCCACCATAGCTTTCTACGCTTTCTACACTTCCTACGATTTTTACATATAAATACATTGCAGCTTTAAAAGTTGCAAGACATATACACATGCACACAGTTTCATCGATCATTCTTGCTACCAAGACCTTTTTTTGATTCAAAAACCTCGGTACTATATAGTACCTACATTAATAGTCTTGAATCCCCGGTTTGCACAGTGAATTCTTTTTCCGCTTGTTCATCCCCATTGACAATTTAACCAAATAACTTAATTCGACCTCGATAAAAACGACCAAATCAAAAAACGAAACATTTACATATTATTAAAAAAAGCAACTGTTAGTAAGAATTAAAGATATATTTGGTTTTCGGGTTTCGCAGTTTTTAATAGGTTACGTTGGCTCTTATAGCTTCGTGAGCAACTAGCAACTTGCAACTTGCACACCGCCGGAGGACCTGCAAATTGTTCCTGTTCCTCTTCCTACCTAACCCCAAGCAACTTATCTCAACAACCTAGCAACCTCTTACTTCTTAACCTACATTTCTTTACCCCCCCCTTACTATTTTCCCACTTCCCACTTCCTTAACCACAGCTCTTTACCAAAACTTAGACCGACAATTACAAACTGGCGATCTATTCATCCCCGAGCTTACACAGTATCTTATCGAGTCTTTGTCTACAAACAGCTCGCAGACTTTTTTCTTCCGACCAGGACCAGGTCTCTATATTCTCCACCACCCCTCGACTACCCTCCCTTAGGACACGACAGCGATAACCCTCGTGTCTCTTCTTAAGCCTCTCTGTTACTTTGTCCGATACTACGGTCTATATCTAGCAACGATGCCCTGCTTCAAGGGCATCGCCGTGAGCATTCATGCGAATTCTGCCCCGCTCCCAGAATATGGCATGCAAAAGCAGTCTCGTCTATCTCGCATCAGCACATACATACCTGTTCCTCAACCTCAGCTAAACCCGGATACCTCTAAACATGAGGCAGCCAAGTTCGCCATTTCGATAACGCTCTTAACACCCGGTCATCCCATCCCCTATACCGCTCCGAAACCGACTGCAACCAATCCCTACCCGAAGCCTCTCTACGCGGGACCTTTGATGTCTACAAGCTCTGATCCTTCCAAGCATGCCAACACGGTCACGCCATATATTCCCATGACCAACTCGGAGAACGAGACCATTGCTGCGTATATCTACTTCGACGGACGAGCTAAGGAGGAAGTCGCCACTTTACTGCGACCGGGAGAAGAAACTTGGGTAAACAGCCGTTGGGTTCAAGTTCCCGAGAGCGAAGGTGGTGGCCTTGCCGAACGTGAATTTTTATTCCGAGAGGTTGGCTTAGAACGCTGGCTTAATGGTCTGGATCTTAAGGGCCACGATGCCGCAGAGAAGGTCGAGAAACGGAGACAGAAGTTTGAGCGACGTCATCGCCGCCATAGGTCCACCCCTCACGGCGGTGACGCAGAAACGGGGAAGGCCCCTCGTCCCCGCGATACCCTAGCATATGGGGGGGAGGACCAGTCACCACTAGCAACCCCCGATGATTCGGACGACTCTTCTATGTCTGACGACGACGAACCTCCCGAGGCTACTGGCCAGATCAAAGTGGCTATGTTTCGTGTTATTGCTTCTGGGGAGATTAAGAAGGGAGAATATTCACCACAATTTGATGCCCATGATGATGATGACGAGAGCGATGGTGGAGCAAAAGGGGGTAATAATGGAGCGATCGATGCCGATGTTGAGCATACCACTAGTTTTGCTAAGCCAAAGACGCTCGATCCTAAGACAATTAGTACTCAGACCGTGACTGGCATAGATGGTCCGGATAAGCCCTATGCAGTATTTACATTCTTCTACCGTGGCCAACGTAAGCAACTTTTGTTTGAGCTTGACATTTATTCACCACTAACACACTATCAGGTCAACTCAGCAAGATGGGATTATACCCTAGTTCGAAAGCCGATCAGAAGGCGCCGGCTACAAAGCGGCGGTCTACCCAACTTGACTTTTCAGGGCTTGGTCCTCTCAAAACTACTGGTACAGTAGGCTTTTCGGCTTTCAGAGACCAGGAGGCCGAAGCCGCAAAGAGGAGAAAGGCTCGCAGAAAGAGTAACGGTGCCAACGGTAACCTCATGGACGAAGATAGCGATGACGATGATGATAATGATAACGACCCCCTGGCTAAGATGGCAGAGTCTGACGATAAGGACGTCAAGACTCACCTAGCGCCGGAAGATGCCAGGGTTACTGGGGAGCTACAAGCTGGTATTGACCGCATCCGCGTGAGTTTACATCCTTTAATTTTATATATAGTGTTACTGACAGGCATACGATAGCTTAAGCGACAGCACTCCACAGAGCCAGACGCTGCAGGTGCGTCAGGTTCTCAAAAGTCACCTAGCGCAGGTCCTACCGGCGGAGAATCGACGCCTACAGATTCTACGTCAAGCAATCAACCTATGCCCAATTCCGTTGCAAATCTTCTTGCGAATGCTTTCAATGGCGAAACGACTGTGGGAAGCCCTCTAAAGAAGCAACGTGCAGATGACGAGACACAGGATCGCTCTATCAATTTCCCGGCAGCTTTAGGTGATGTGCTAGGCAGGGCCACTGCGGATCAGGAGAAGAAGATAAAAGAAGAACAGGTTAAAGTTCAACTCCAGTTCGGCGAAGATGAAGAGCTTTGAAAAGGCTACTAATTCCACGACCCTATTGACCGTTTTGAGGTATCACTTAAACCTCGCCAGCCGCAAGACCAGTTGACTTAATTTGCTGCTTTAAATATTTACCGGAGCCGAGAGACAAGCCGAGTAACAAGGGCTCTTAGCAAAAGGCAATCTTATACTATCAAACAATCGAGAGTATGAGATTATTACAGGGGAAAGAAATGGGTGAAACTTAGATAGCGGTGACTCGTGTAGAGAGGTCTTTATTCTATGAATACGTCAACACACTATTTGTTGTCGTGTTGAGAAAAAGACTCAATACTACATTCTGGAACTAGCTGTTTAGACATTTAGCCAGTGTACAAAGGTCGAGATATTCCAGTTGCATATGGCAAATCCTCTGCGGGAGAGTTTCACTTGGACATAACGAGGTCAGGTCCGTTAGCTACATGTGCAACGGCTGCGTTTGATGTGAGATGATTATGACAAGGCGGACGGGATGGCGTGTCGGCGGTAGTGGTGGCTTTATTTCTAGGTGCGGTTCTTTTTATAGAGAAAATACCCGAACAAGAAAAGAGTTCAGAGAGCAACTGCAAGGTTGCATGGGACTTTTCTTCCTTCGACTGATGAGTTACGCGGCTGTGTGAATGTGTATGTGTATGTGTACTGCTGGCCTGGTCATGATAACGCCCTAAGCTTATGATGAAATATCTTCTGCGTAGTATGTATTTTTTGACAGTATACTTGTGTACGAGCATCTTTAGATAAAGTATGATGAGATAGTTATTAAGAAATAAGATGTTTATTGTGTGCGTCAATAAATACTTTTCGACATTCATATATTATTCGGGGTTAGATGCGAGTAAAGTCGACGCCGTACGACTGCATGAGAAGTGACAATCGCAAGGCGGGGTTCTTAAACAAACCCCAAGTTAAATAAATATAAGACAAATCTATGTATACCTACCCAGGAAGTTCATACATATTTAATTCTCATTTAATTATATTTTCCGGAACAGTCGGGCGTTTAAATATTTATTTACTAAGTACCTAGTAAACTTAGCAGTTCTTAACGTAATTATACATCTTGGGTGTTTTCACCCAACTCTATGAGTTAGGTCCCTATTCCCCCCACTAACGCACCACAGCAGCCTCGACCTGAAATGAGACTCGGACTCTGCACGGCGGCGGCGGCAGTTGCGCTCGCGCTGCTGGAGCAGCCACAGGCAGAACAGAAAGTCCTGTCGGCTGGTGAAGAGAAAGGGGAGGGGAGGAAAAGCCCGTTTGGTTCCGATTTCGAGGCTTTCTCAAAGGCGGCGCTCGACCGCTGGAAAGTCCCGGGGGTGTCGGTTGCTGTTGTCGATGGGGAGGGTACGTGGGCTGAGGTTTGTGATATGTGTTTCTTTTTGTTTTGGTCTTGCTGGGTTTGAAATGATGGGGGGGGGTGTAGGTATGAGGAGATTTAAGATATTGCGTAAGAGCGGCAGTGAGGTAATGAGATGGGACTACTGAGGCAGAGAGTTCAAGAATCCGGGGACAAGAGGGCCAATTGCCTAATAGTTGAAAGGCCAGATCGGCTAGTTTTTATTGGTGTTTGTTATTCTATATCAGACATCATGTCAAACGGATAGATAGGCTGTACCGTCTCTGAAAACTAAGATGATCACGGAGGCTACCCCTTATATTTACAATTTTACAACACAATCCTAATACAAACTACAAGCTGACAATATACACAGGGTTACGGTATCTCCAGCTTCCCCTCAACGCCCGCGACACCATCAACACTATACTACACCGGCAGCACGACCAAAGCATTCACAGCAGCCATCCTGTCCCTCCTCATCGCATCAGGGAACTTCTCGTCCCTCCAGGAAACATACCCCCCCCTCAGCTGGCAGACGCCCATCTCGCACATAATCCGGGACGACTTCGTCCTGGGCCCAGAATACGAATGGGCGGCCGCACACCTGACGCTCGAAGACGCGCTCTCGCACCGCACGGGGTTCCCGCGGCACGACAAGGCGCTCGCCAGGCAATACGGACCGGACCGCCACCCAGGCACCGTGCGCGACGTCGTCCGCAGCCTGAGGCACTTGCCCATGGTCTCGGAGCCGCGCGTCGTCTGGCGCTACTGCAATCTCATGTACATGGTGGCCGCGCACGTGATCCAGACTCTCACGGGGGAGTGGCTGGGCGCTGTGATGCGCGAGCGGATTTGGGAGCCCCTAGGCATGGAGGCTACGTATTTGAGCGTGGAGGATGCGCTGGAGGCGGGGAGGGAGGTGGCGCGTGGGTATTACTGGGATTATCAAGGAGGGGAGGAAGGGAAAGGGGGAGGGCAGGGCTTCGTCTCGGTTCCGTACGAAAGCCTTAATCTCGCAAGCGGCGCTGGTGGCGTCGTGAGCAATGTGCTGGATTATGCACGATGGATCCGATGTCTGATCCGCGGCGATGGGAGCGACGATAACGAAAACGGATGTCCGGTCTTGCCTAAGGAGGCGCATCGCGAGCTCAAATTGGCTCGTATTGCGATGCCCCCCGAGATGCGGATGAGTTTCGATGCTCCGCTCGCGTACGCGCTCGGCTGGGAGCTCAGCACGTATAAGGGTTGGCGAGTGTTCACGCATAGCGGGGGCATGGAGGCATACGGCGCCGAGGTTTACTTCTTGCCGGATCTAGGGTACGGAGTGGTTACGCTGGGGAACACGGCGCAGACGAGTAATTTCGTGGGTATGGAGCTTGCGTGGAAGTTGATTGATGATAAGTTGGGAGTCCCGGAGGAACAGCGGTTTGACTGGGTTAGCCGGTGAGTTTCGCCTCCTATCGTTTTTTGAAAGCTAGATGTTACATTGTCTTGCTATGCCTTCGTTTAGAAGGGTAGGAAGAGGAATCCTGGACTAATACGAATAAATAGGGGAGAGAAAGTACTTGACGCCCAGCTTAAGCTCGCCGAGACAGCTATTCATGACTTATATCCGGAACGCGCAGACCCACCGCTACCTCGAACGCTGCCACTCGAGAAGTACGTCGGAGTCTACTCCCACCCGGCATATCAGAACATCACGCTGCAACTAACTGATGAGGACTCGGCAAATACGAAAGGGGAACTTAGAGCTCTACGGGATGATATGGAGTGGCAGATGACGTTCGACTTCCACCATGTATCAGGCGAGTTCTGGGCGGTGGTCATCGATATGCTTAACACGCCCAATTTGCTCAACGGGCAACGGGCTCGGGCTCAGTTCGAATTAGGCGTTAAGGGGACGGTGGATAAGCTGAAGATGGAGTTTTTAGAGGATGGGAATGAGGGGGTTATTGTATTTGATAGGGTGGTGTGATATCATCACTTGGGACAATATAATATATTGAAAAATTGCATATATTTGACGAGATCAGAGGGTCGAGTCTCAATTTTCGTAGTTGAATTAGTAGATGCATTTGACAGTGATGACATACCATCAAGATGGTCCTCCGCATGAGTGTAATTAATGACATATTAAGATTATTCACATTCGAGTGTAGATTGCATAATGAGAAAAGATTGAAATTTGATTTATTCATTTATATACTTGGCTATATCTATAGAACCAGGAGATGTTGAGGGATCTGAGCAGTCCTCTGTGCTATTTCTCGTACACCAGACCACCTACCAAGTCTGCTCGTTGGCGATAAGGAATTAGATATGGCATCAGAAGCTGTTAACCCACAGATACGCCCAATGAATGTGAAAGTGGCAACCTAATATAAGTTAGCAACACTAGAACAAAGCTAGAAATGGTAAACAAGTAATGCGTATATGCTTAATGAGTCAGACTGTTGAGCTTGATAAATTTAATCCACATGGATATTCAGTTGGCTGTTCTTAGAAGATTGGATCATCATAAAGAAAGCAGTAGAAAAAGAAATGCAATAAAAACTTACATTTGCTGCTAGACTCGCGTGGCTACTACGAAAGACAATAGCGCGGCGACATGCGGCGTGGTTTCGGGAAGAAACGTTGTTGCTTTGATAAAGAAGCAAAAAAAAGAAATCGGGTGCAAGTGGGAATAAATAGATCGGAATTACCGAGCCGAAAGACTAGAAGAGGTTTTCCCGGCTGCCCGGCTACAGATCACGTGAAATACTTAGTGACCCACTATCATTGGTAAATCCATTGGTTACTGCTTCGGCTGCTAAGTCGCTCAACTTGCTAACTGACTTCACCGATCGAATCTCGACAGAGAACGACTCCAATCTCCACTCTACCACGACGTCCTAATATACGCCACTACCCGCTCACCCATCCCCCTCCCCTAAGATACCTACGATTATCCTCGGGAAAGCACTACGAACACCAGAAAGGGAAAAGGAGAAAAAAAAAAGGCAGAAGAAAAGGAGCAAGGTCCAAACTAAGAGGGGACCTCTCGAGTCACATTAAATAAGAAAACGAGCAAGATCATGCCCGCCGTCCGACCAAACGCCGCCGTGCGGGCCACACGCGCCCTGCAGCAAAATCAAAAGACCACAACCAGACCCTTCTCGGCCACCCCGCGCGCTCCGGCCTCCCACGGTCCTCAATACGATCCCCCGACCGGTTGGTTGTTCGGCGTCAAGCCCGGCGAGAAGTACCAGAAAGAGGGATGGGAGACGCCCTTCTTCTACGGATTCTGTGGCAGCTTGGCTCTTGCTGCTGTCGCATACGGCTTCAAGCCTGATACCTCGTGAGTTTTACACATTTAGTCCCGGATGGAATATAAGATGGAGAAAGAAGGGGGGTTAGGGCGATTGCTATATTGTCCCATTGTCTATGGGACATGTCAACCATCATGCTCTATTCTATTCAACATGGCTCCCAACGACAATCTAATAACACCGGCTAATATAACTGCTTTTAGAATACAAACGTGGGCTCTAGAAGAGGCGCGACGGAGATTAGAAGCCGAGGGCATCCTCGAGGACCCCGAGAAGAAGTGATGGATCCTAACTATAACCATATAGAGTGCGATTAACGGGAATGGAACTGCGGTACACTAGTTCGAGGCTCTATTTGTACATGAAACCCGACTTTCTTTTTTACTCTCGTGCTGCCTCGCCCTTCTAGCGACGGTGAAGCTTCGATTAGAGAACCCCATCATAGACGGACCTGCCTCCCGAGCTGGCGAGGGGGGCTAGCTACCTATAAGCTACAATTCAAATTTCTTCTGCTGCGCAATTCTCGTCTGACCTGGCATTATACCGGCCTTTTCCAGAACGTTTAGTCATCCCTGTTCAAATCGGTTTTATTTTAAACGATATTTTTTAACAGGCCAGGTAAGCGAGTACGCCATTGCGCCGGATCTACACCATCTATGCGGATATAGAACAGTTCGTGACAAGACAAAAAATGCTAAGCTCGCTTTTTCTCTAACATATGTGACTCCACTCATGCTCCTCATCTCCGTATTGTCTAGCTTCTATCCAGCTCTTCATCTTATTAGCAACCTCACCCGACTCTTCATTCTCAGCCAAACCGCAGTCAACCATCTTGCCCTTCCAGCTAATCTTTCGTACGGGGCTAACGACGGCTGCCGTTCCCGCGCCGAAGACTTCGATCAAGCGCCCGTCTAACGATGCCTCGTACAGCTGCGGCATAGTGATCTTGCGTTCCGAGATCAACCACCCCTCAGGTGCAAGCTTCTCGTGCGCAAGGCTTAGGATGGAGTCGCGTGTTATGCCGCCTAGGATGGTGCCGTCGAGAGGCGCGGTGATGAGCTCTTTCTGGCCCGTCTCCTTATTGCGGATCGCCACAAAAAGGTTCATGGTACCGACTTCGGTCACGTATTCCTCAGGTCCAAATAGCCATAGGTTCTGTTGGAATCCGCGAGAGGCGGCTTCCATCTGCGGCACGATGCAAGGCGCGTAGTTGGCGCCGAGCTTCTTGTCGCCTACGCCGCCGGGCCAAGCTCGTACGGCGTAGTCGGTGGCCTCGAGCGACACGGCCTTGAAGCCGGTGGGGTAGTAAGGACCCACGGGCGACGCTATGACGAAAAGTAGAGCCGAGCCCGGCGCACCGATGCCCAGGGTCCTTTGCGTGCCGATGAGTGTCGGACGTAGGTACAGGGAGTAGCCGCGGCCGTTGGGAATGAAGCGCTCGTCAAGCTTAACAAACTTAGCAATCAGATCGATCAGGCTAGTAGGGCCGAAAGTGGGAAGAGCAATGCGGGCGGCGGACTTGTTGAAGCGCTCCATGTTCTTGTCGGGGCGGAACAACCGTATCTGGCCCTTATTATCGCGATACGCCTTCATACCCTCGAAACACTCGAAAGCATAGTGGAAGACGCAAGTAGCGGGATCGAGAGAGAGGTTTTGGTAGGGTTGAATGGTGGGCGTGAGCCAGCCGTCATTTTTTGTCCATTCTATCGTCAACATATGATCTGCGAGCGTTGGCAATGGCACAAGTTAGCATACTATCTAGATAGGTATCTAAGTCGTAGCATAGAGAGATGGGCAGTACGACGAGTTGAGCGTACCTGTAAACTCCCTTCCAAAGACAAGTTCCGCAGGGTCCTTAGGGGTCTTGGGCGACTGCGTCTTAATGATAGATAACTTCGTAGGATCTATATCCAGAGGTTTTGCCACTGAGGCTGCCTCTGGCTGGATGCTGTACCACCTGGATGTGCGTTGCAATGCGGGCAACGTATAGGAAGAGCGCGGGACGGGAGCTCTTAAAGCTCTCCCGCACCGCGGAAGAAGTTGTCGAAGCATTGGCGAATAGAGAACAGTGTACAATAATCCAGGTTTTGTTTGTAGTCGAATTTCTAGATCAGACCTGGTGTTGCTACGAAACAGAAAAAAAGAAGCAGGAACAGAGAAAGATTATGTATCTTAGAAATAGGATCAATTGGACCCAATTGTATAATCTGCTTCCTTTGACTCAATGCTCTATGGACGGACCCGAACGATAGTAGCTAAAATAGCCCCAATTTCCCTTTATAACCTTAGTAAACTAATAACAACCATGACCCGACTCAATGGGAAAAGGTAAGAAAAAAAAAACTATAGGGTAAGAGATACAAGCGATCTCGGAGGAGTCTAGCGTAGTTACATATCTGCATGTACGCCCTAAATGCCCTAAATATGCATTAACGGACAAAACGGGACCAATGGCAAGCGCGTTTTTATCCGGCTTACCTATACCTAGCTCTGGTTTCTTCAAATATTTCGTGGCGTAAAAGGTCTAACTTAGAAATAATCGCACCGCCACTGAGGCAACAAGGGACCCCTGAGTGTTAGACAAGAGCTTAGGCTTGGCATTTGAATTTGTAGATTTACACATGCAGATAAACTCTATTGAATTATGTATGTAACTTTATCAACTTAAAAAACAGCCTCGTATTTATAACCTCCCACGTACGTCATTTTTAAGTACAACCAGCCACGAGGTTCTATCACTTAAACTAATACAGGGAAAGGTAAACATTTCATCTTTCCCATCATACGACCCGTCGAATCCATTGCCGATTAGCCGGAGGAGGAACACGATCGTCATCCTGGAGGGATTAGGTATTGGGGGAGCGTGGGATCGCAGACGAATGTTTATCTCTACGCGCGGCGCTACAATATGACGGTTGCTAGTCGTCGCATAACACGCCGTCGCCAACCATGTTCTCCTCGCTGAAGAGCTTCACTTCTCACATCAACTCCAACTATTCCATTTCGCAAACCATAACCTCCACAGCCGGCCCGTGGAAGATATACGATGCGAAGAAGAAATCTACAGGCAAGACGTATTCCGTCTTTGTCTTCGAGAGGAAGTCGCTAGAGTCTCATGGAGGCTCGCTCGGCCGGTCGGGTGCGGCCGCCTTTAAGCGCTCCGTAGACGAGGTGGTGGAGCGCCTAAAGAAAGAAGCTTCGTCGCTTGCTAGACTACGCCATCCAAGTGTCCTGGAATTAGTCGAGCCCGTAGAAGAAACTAGAGGTGGTCTTCAGTTCGTTACCGAGCCGGTAACCACGTCATTAGCAAGCCTCTTACAAGAGAAAGATGATCAGGAGAAAGTGGGCGGCGTCGGGGGCCGGTCGAGCCGATATGTCACTGAAGACTCGGGCGGCACAAGACGGAGGCGGGATCTAGAAATCGACGAGCTTGAGATACAGAAGGGGTTGCTTCAAATCAGCAAGGCTTTAGAGTTCCTGCACGAGAATGCAGGACTTGTTCATGCCAATCTCACCCCGGATGCTGTGCTAATCAATTCTAAGGTCAGTTTAGACACTTTCCATTGGCTGTGAGGATAGCCTTTCAAAACTTGTCTCGGTCCCTCTGACCGAAGTTATCGTCGTGCCTGCTATGAACCATACAACAATTCCCAGGAGATACCTTGCTAACGAGATGATAGTCCGATTGGAAAGTCAGTGGGCTTGCTTTCTGTAGCCCACCGGAGGGCTCATCAAAGCCTACTTCAGTTCAGCCCATCAGCCTCTCGGAGACTCTCAACTTAGATCCTAGGCTACCACGGCACGTTCAGATCAATCTTGATTATACTTCGCCTGATTTTGTCCTCGATAATAATCTCACCACATCAGCTGACATGTTCTCATTGGGGCTTCTATGTGTCGCATTATACAATTCACCTCATCGATCTCCCATAGAAAGTAATGGGAGTATATCTGCATATAAGAGATTGTTCACATCGTCTTCGACGGTTCCGTCATCCGGTAATGGCTTCCTGTCTAAAAGACCGTTACCAAGGGACCTTTCGGCCCACGTACTACCCCGATTGATTACACGGCGTCCCGCACAGCGCATGACAGCACGAGAATTTCAAGAGAGCGAATATTTTGACAACATCCTCGTTTCCACGGTTCGATTCCTCGATGATTTCCCGGCTAAAACTCCAAATGAGAAGGCTCAATTCATGAGAGGTCTCAATAAAGTTCTGCCATCCTTCCCCAAGTCGGTTATGGAGAAGAAAGTACTACCAGCACTGTTAGAAGAACTGAAAGATAAGGACTTGTTGTCTCTCATCCTTCAGAATGTCTTCAAGATTATGGATCTGTTGCCATCGTCGAGGCGAGCGTTCTCGGAGAAGATACGGCCAAGGATTAAAGAGATATTCGTTGTCAACGCTAAACAGTTACAAGAGAAGGATCCAACTAGGGACGCTGGATTGATGGTTGTTTTGGAAAATCTTAACCAGATTGCTGGGAACTCTTCTGGTAAAGAGTTTAAAGACGGTAAGCCTGCCTTTCCTTTATCAATTGTCGTAGTCGGCCGACATAAGCCGATATTCGCCATCCAATTGCTGCTTACGTTGTTACATATCACGGTTCAATATCCACGCAGCGTTGTGTGATGAGTATGGAATACCTTCACATGATTGAGGAAAGCGAGGTTTTGAGATAACTCCGGTGTTACTTACGCGAACATATTAGAGTCGTACATTTAGTCTCAAGCTAACAATGTTACCTAGATGTCCTGCCGATTGTTTTAGTAGCTATCGAGTCCCCGACGCCTTCACTCGTCGATGCTGCTCTACGTGGTCTCCCGGTCATATTACCGGTTTTAGACTTTAGTACTATTAAGAATGAGTTGTTCCCTATCGTCGCTGCTGTCTTCAGCAAAACCAGCAGCTTGGCCATCAAGGTCCGTGGATGTCGAGCTTTCGTCATTCTTTGCGGCGGCACCAACGAATCATCGTCAGCGGACGATGGACTTGACGGGATAAGCCCCGAGAAGAAAAAGACGTCTTCATCCAGTGCTCTAGACAAGTACACAATGCAAGAAAAGATCATTCCGCTCATCAAAGCCATTAAAACCAAAGAGCCTGCAGTTATGATGGCTGCGCTAGATGTACTACGAGTTGTGGGCGACAACGCGGATGCCGATTTCGTAGCCATGGACATCTTACCCATCTTGTGGAGCATGAGCTTAGGGCCTTTGTTAAACCTCAAGCAATTTCGGTCTTTCATGGACTTGATCAAGTCGCTTTCGAGAAAAGTTGAAGAAGAGCAAATGAAGAAGTTACAGGAGCTTTCCGTCGTGAACGGAGGAAGGGCAGTGACTCCTACCGATGATTTCATAGGATTTGGGGGTGTTAGTGGAATAACGTTTGATTCAACGAACGGGGCCACGGAAGATGATTTCGAGCGGCTAGTGAAAGGAAAATCTGGACCGAGCACGAGTACGAATGACACGATGGATGCAGGTTGGGACGCGACCCCAGCGGCAGCAACGGTTATCTCACCACCGATCAAATCACCGCAATTTTCTTGGTCGACACCAAGTCCTACCTCTAGTGTTGGTACCGGACCCGGTCACTTCGGACCTCCCAAATCCCAACCTTCTTTCCGAACAGTTACACCGGATCTTAATTCATTTGGCACTCTAACCCCTTCATCTACCCAATATTCTCAGCCTTTGCAGCCTTCTATGGGCAATGCAACCAAGACCACGTCAACTATACCCCAGAACCCTCCCACTACATTCAACTGGTCCACCTCGACAACAGCGACAGCTAATCCTTGGGCTTCAAACTCATCTAATCCCATATCTCCGTCTGCTTCGTCTTTCGGCAATGTAACCACGGGGATATCAAATTTGAACCTTGGTCAACCAAGGCCGACTACGAGCCAATCATCTTCATTCTCTCTTCCTCCGCCGCCGTCTAGTGGAGGCAGTACGCCCTCAGGTTTCAGCTTACCTCCGCCACCAGGAGGTCCTCAGAGGCAGAGCTCGACACTATCATCATTCGCCCAACCGTCTAGTGGTCTCGGAAGCTTATCTCATCAACCAGCAGGAAACATGAACAGTATGATGAACTCGGGGTTAGGAGGAATGAACAGAAGTACGAACAGCATGAGCAGCATGATGGGTACCATGAAACCTATGGCACCAAGCCAATCTACCCCGCAGCCACAACAGCAGCAGCAGCAACCCCAAGGGTCAGGCTTGGATAAGTATGAGAGTTTAATATAGGCACAAGAGGAGGAAATGTAATTCATACCACCCGCGCTACTAGTAAGAGCGCTCTACGTTTTATATTAGGTTGGTCATCTATGTAGCATTCGGACTAGAATGCAAATCCCGTAATTAGATATGTTGGCGCGGATACCCAGATAATTGATCTCTTTCAAAGGCGTCCAATGCAGTCTTATGCGAATGTGATTAGTAGCGGCTTTCGAAGACTGGATATAAGAATCATAGTAATGTCGTTCCGAGATATCGTTATGTAAATCGTCTTACTCGTAGTATTATTTATGGACTACGGTATCTAGTTAACGGTTTATGCTCTTGGGATATGGCTACTAATACCTAGTAGTCATGACCTTGCCATTGATATAAACTGAGCGAAATATTAGACAATAGCCAGCTAGTTTTATGAGTCGCCCTAGCCCTAATATACAGACCCCTTCAGGGGAATTTCTACGCTAAGTACCCTATAAGCCTACAATAAAGATCATTTATAACTAAAACTGAACGCTTCTCATCCCACCTTCGTACCTAAGTTACCACTTTGCTCCTTTCCCGTATTTAAACTCATTGGGCACATACTTATGTTATCAATAAGTAGCACCTCTATAATTCACCAGATAACTTATTAGCACTGTCGTTGTTAACTTAACGAAGGTAGATATTATTGGGGTTATTAGAGAGTACTATTTACTTAGCACACGAGATCTGTTGATTTATCTTTACTTCTACGTTGTCAGGGACTCATGGCCTTTGAATGAGAGATTTGGCTTTCTAGTGTCGGCCACTTCAGCTCTTCTCTAAGAATTTTAGAACAAGTAGTTATATAACATTTCTTTTAGTATAAGTTACAGAAATAATACTCCTCGCCAGCTAAAAAAGACAGTGATGCTAGAATCTCTTTCGGAGCGCTTGATATCCTTACCGAAGTCGAGATACGTCTGTCTACCTAGGTAGTTACCAGCTGTTGCCTACCAAGGCAGTCGTAGTATATTTGAAAGGAAAGCCACCCTGCAAATTCCGTCTAGGTGAACTACAAGCCTTAGAGAGGATCAAGTTATCATAACAGTAGCGTAGGTTATAGGAGAAAAGGGAGCATAACTACCCAGTTTAAAATGACATGCTCAGCTATACGAGCCGGTCAGATTAGCATAGGTAGCATGGCAAAAGGCTTGCAGCACGCTCCGCTATATGCGATGCATCCCCACTCCTTACGGAAGTTCCACGCGGGTATTAATTACATACATACATACTACAGTATGGATATCACTCTCTCTCCTCTCATATTTCTTACTCTCCCGGAAGAGTTCTAATACTGGCCTTCCCCCCTTCTCCCGGGCCGAGAGCTATGCGGGACTTAGTCGTTCAAGACAACTAGGTACTTATGCAGGTAGCCCATACAAACAAAGATAGAAACTACCTAACTTGCCTACATAACATAACCTATCCAACTTTAGTTAAATAAAGAGCGGTCTAATTTATGTATTCAATGTTTTAGGAGAGGTATACAGCAAGGGAGCAAGTAAGTTGAACCTATCGAGTACCTAGCGACTAAATCAAGAACGTGTTGAGACTGGGTGTGTTGATGTTGCAGATCCACGACAGGCCATGTTTCAGCAACTCCCACGGGCAAACTGGTAAATTGGAGAAGACGGCCGTGCTAGCAAGCGGCGGTGACGTGGCTTGGTTTACTCGTATGCAATTACAGCGACACCGCAGCGCCAATGTCTAGGAGCAAAAAAAAAGAAAAAAGAAAAAAGAAGAAGGAAAGGTGGCTTGGTCTAGTTAGAGACTTTAGACTCAACATGGTTGAAAGGCCCTGTTTGAGACAATTTGCGTCGAATGATGGGAATAGACTATAGTAATAGTTCAGTCATTTGGTAGTCATAGTTGAGATATTGCTCGGTAATACCTATTACTTGATAATATGAGCACATCCATCACATCTCACCTTGCACCAGCATATACGTATATACGTATGTCAGTCAGTCAGTCAGTCAGTACGTTGATACCGTATTGTATATATGTGTATCATGGTGGATTTTTATTAGAAGTCATCGCAATGATATGGACGCACTTAGCTAACCGATTACCTGTCTACCTCATTTCTAATAGATTAAGACCCCTTGTTGTCAACAGGTAAACCCCTCTGCAGACTTGACCTATCACGTAGTTTCTCACCTACTTCCCCCCCTTGTCAAAGGTAACAAGGTAACATACCGTGAAATTGTAGCGTCCGTGAAGAGAAAAAAAAAACGCCATCTTCTCAATAGCGAAATTGCACAATTAACTTCGACCGCGCCGAGGTATAAACTCGATAGTACACACACACATGCCTCTCCCGGACGATCTGCATAATGCCGTGAGACCGAAAATCGGAATGCGTTATGCCATCTTCCCTCGTCGTCTACCTGCATTTACTACTCTATTTCGCGAAGGGGGTTCTAGCATAAATTATGCTCGGTATCGTCTGCCAAGTACGCACGGAAAGTGGATATTGGCATTGCAAGTTGAGCGATAGAAATTTCGGAAATGAAATTCATTTTAAAAAACAAGACATTGAAAAATGTCAAAAAAGAGAGAGAAAAACAAAAAGCCCAGAAACGCCTTGCTGTGAAAGAATAAATGCCGTCCCCGGGATATGCCACCCTTGTACCGCGATTATGATCAGTGATCAGTGATCAGTGGAATTAGTTGACGTCAAATAGTTAGTCGTAATTATAGTTATGAAGGCGAGTGAATCGCTTCATAGTCTCGAAGACGCCATGTCATGGCTCTGGTTTCGGTTTTAGTTTTGGTTCTTGTTTTGGTGAATTTTCCGGCTTAACCACCGTAAAAACATGTCGACTCTTGTAGCCCTCTTCTAGCTTGACGTCGATCTTTTGATCAGGATTCAACATAGGGTGGCTAAGACTCCAACCCGCGCGACGGCACAGTTCTGCAACGATAACGTCGCAGTCGCCGAGAAGGTCGATATCGAAATTAATATGACTAACGGGCGTGCGCGAGATGTATATCTGTGGGATATGCGGCGGTAGGTAAGGCACAACTTCAGAGACAGGCGCAACTTTGAGCGAGGTGCCAATTACGATGACTAGATCGACGCGGTCACGGTCGTGCTTAACTAACCGTTGGCTGAACTCATCCGGTAGCTCCTCGCCAAAGAAAGTGATGTCTGGTTTCATGACGCCAGCGGCAGGGATATCGTATTGGCCATCGTCGTCGTCGTCATCATCCGTGCTCTTACGCCGAGTCTTCTTGCCAGTGGATTTGTTATAAGAGCGCTTGCGCTTCATCGAGCCGTTAGTTCGGAGCGCAGTAATGCATTTGATGCATCGCGGTATATTGCCAGCCTTGATGTCGGCAAAGAGGGTATCACCTTGGACTTTGTAACCACATTTTTGACAAGTAGCAGTTGCAAATGAACCGTGACACTGGACAAGCTTGTCTGGTCTAATACCCGCATTTGCTTCGATGTTATCGATATTTTGCGAGTAATTCGTTAGAAGCTTGCCTTCATCCTGAAGTTTAGCGATAAAAGCGTGGGTTGGCGAATACAATCCCTTAGTCTCGGGAAGAATGTCCTTTGCCACCGAGTAAAAGATGGTCGGGTCTTCTCGGAAGATATCTATGTTAAAGACTTCTTGAGGGTCGCTAATCCCTAAACCGAGTTTCTCAAGTTGCGAGTAGAGACCAGTTTCTTTTGAGCGAAAATCGGGAATTCCGAGCGAAGTAGAAATTCCAGCTCCGGTCAAGACGACGATGTTTCGCGATGCTTTTAGCAAAGCCACAGCGTCGTCAATTGTGTTATACGTGGGAAGCTTGGCACGCTTAACCAACTCACGCGTCATGGCCAAAGTAAGTAGTCCGAAGTAGGCATGATCTGGAAGTCCATCAAGGAATGCGGGTGGTCGTATTCCAAAGGCCGTTAATAATTTCTTGACTGTAATTGTGCCAGAGTCAACGGTCTGTTTGCAAAACTCCTGAGGACCAACAGCTCGTAACTGTTGGCGATACTGCACAGCCTGTTCCGGCGTGACAGCGTCAACTATAAGGCCACGTTAGAATAAATTGTAAAACAGCGGAAAGAGTTAACTAATAAGAGAAAGTAAAAATCAGGGGAAAGTAAAGTAAATATGTAATTACCATCGTTAGTGAACTTATCCTCAGAGATATCTTCGATGACATCTTCAAAAAGCGACTCTGTCTCCCATGAATCGCTAAGGTCGTTGATTCGCTCCTCGAGTTCGTTGCGTGCATGGCCATGCGGTCTCACATTAAGATGGCCGACGACTTGGTCATCCGTAACTTCAACTCGTACTTTAGGAGGTTCCGACTCCTTCACGGGCCAATTCTTACGAGGTCGGCCGACAGGACGCTTTGCCTTCATCGCGTTTGATATAGTTGCTGTTGGGATAAGTGGGGTTGAGTGATGAGATAGAATAAAATAAAATAAAATAGCAACTAAAAGCGAGAAATAGTCAATTGCGTATGATGACCGAATGGGCAGATCGGAATCTGGATCTGTCTAATGAGTCGGTTTAATAAAATTAGGCGGGCCTAATTGATCGACTGCCTAGTAATTAATCAATCAACAAGAATTTTGCGCGGTTGAATGACGAAGTGAATTGGTTCCGTAAAATCTCTTTGAGGAGGGGAGGAATAAGAAGTAAAAATAAAAATAAAAATTATTAGCGGGAAGGGATGAAGTAAAAGAGAAAGAAGAAACAAGACAAGTTTAACCCTGGAGGAAATATGGTTTGAGAAACTACATATCCTAGCCAGATAGGTACCGGGGATGGTCAACGCGTCTTGTGTGTATTATGTGTTGTGTATATTGTGTGGTGTTATTTGAGAATTCGGGTCAGAGGGGGGGAATTAGAACAGGTTGCAGTGGCAGTGGCAGCTGTAGTAGTAGTAGTAATAGTAATAATAAATTACCTACATACCAAAAGCGTAGGTAACAACACTATGATTCATGAAGGATTGGGCGCTTCTTAGAATTTCCGAATTTCGTAAGGGGAACTACTTGTACTTGGTACGAACTTAACGAATTTATTACAAGAAGAAAAAAAAGACCCGCATAAGTTAAATCTCGACGTAGTAGTTTTTGAGGAACTTAATTCCCTCTTATAATTATTAATGCGGGTTGGGTTAGGTTGGTTAGGTGAGGTAAGAAGTAGAAAGTTAGGTAAGAAAATAAAAAATTAAAGGGAAAGATGCGACAAGGAGATAGGATAGGATAAGATAGATTAGGTTAGGTAGTCACCATGCGTAAGAAAGAGAAGGAGGGAAAAATCGATGAGTTTGCAACTTCAAGAATGATAAAAGTCAAGTACTAAGCGAAGATGCTGATAGGCTACAAGGGACAGTGTGCCACCCATATTAATTATAAGAGTATGATAGGGGGGGCCATCTCTCACTCCGGTCTAGAGCCCTTTTTCCCTTTTTTTAATTCTATTCTATATTTTACTATGTTTTCGGGTATGTATCTATCTTTCTTCCATCTACTTAATTCTTGCTAAGGTTGTTTGCCGCATTTCCCATACTATCCATTTATGTCCACAATGTCGAGGCTTGTTTGCCCTATCCCCTCGGCGACTAGTCATCCATGATTACTATGTACTATCATCCAAACACCTTTTTGATAACCTTGGTAGACGGATTGTATATCCATCCTATCAAACTACTGCTCATAATTCCAAAAAGAACGCTTTAAGAGTCATATCTTATCTTAGTCACTTAGAAACTGAGAAACATAGGCGCTATATTCATCCGATTCATTCCTACGGCCCGGGAAAGATGGGGGAACATCTATGTATGGGGAAACGTTTATTTACCATTTACCATTAGCCATTGACCATTGACCATTGCCCAAATAATTCCAAGTCCTTCGATGAAAGCCCGAGGTATGCCAAGACTCTTTAAGTTCCCGCAACTCCGGATAACTCTCATCTATTAATACCGATTCCCGCCTATTATATAATTCAAATTGCGCTCCGTGTTCCAATCATAAAATAAGATATATATATATATTTTCTATTAAACTAACCATGCTACGAATATTGCTGATTGCTCTGAAATAGTTATGTCGCTTGTAAGTTTCCATGTTACTACGAAGAGGGTTCTAGACCTTACCAGTTTAAAAAATAAAATAAAAAAACCCCGCGATGAAGCGTCACAGATGCAAATCTAATTACCGCTAGTATAACTCTTGTTACTAGTACTCTATCGCAATCTATCGCGATCCATCACGCACAATTATTCTGCTTCTGCCTTGAAAAATCCATCTGACTTTGCCAAGAAATTGTTGTTACCGGCTGCACTTCACGCTTACCAAAAATACCAACACTCCAAGTTTCTACGAGTTGCCTAATTGGGAAATATATTCAACTGGGCGTAATGTGAGGCAATCTCGAGAAGAGGTAATTCCTTAAGCGCAAAAATAAAATCAAAAATAAAATATAGGTAAATAATATAATAAATATAACGATAGAGGAACAAACGAACGCCACGTGGTAAAGGAATCAGCAGATATGCTACCCCACAATCTCAATTTACCTCAAGAAGCTAGTCGTGAACATACCATCCCATCCCATCCCATCCATCGGCTTGAACCTAACCAGGATAATTCTATCTAACTAATAAGACTGATAGTTGCCATCCAAACGCCAACAACCAAGTACCCAAGTAATCCGCAACGAGCGGGAGAATTCATCACCTCGAATTCATTTTCGCTTAACGTGATTCCGAACAGAAAATTCCATCCTAACCGTTGGTATCATTACATTGTCTCCTTTTAAAGTCTTCAAAGTCTAAAAGTTCACAAACCGTGATACCGTCATGATCTAGGTATCCTCATCTCGACCCAAGGCCTGACTCAGTCTGACACCACTAAGAGAGGGAAAAATCCATGGTTGGTGCCTAATCCTGGTTCGCAACTTTGATTGTCATTTGAAAATATCACCTTGTTTTCAACTCCCCCTGCCTGGATTAGCTGATAGTCAGTCAGTTAATACAATACATACATACGTGTATTCGCTATCACGCTTGATTAAATGTAACAGGGACGTACCTAAGTAAATACAAATCTTTGTTGCAGAAACGAACGGAACGAATAATAATATAACTACCTCCACAGATAGAGATCATAACTTGGAAATTAATTGTCAGTTAAATACGATCTCGTAGAGTTAACTTCCAATCTTCGTACTTTCATGCTATGCTATGCATTTATAAGAAATATCGCATACTTGAGAGTCAATCATACTACATACCTGTTACTAAATATCAAGAACAACCCCCTTTTCTTAACAGATCAACCACAGCCCATCGAATCTACTTCAACTCCAAAGGGTTACATATAATATTCCCTCTTACCACCTCCCGAGCAATTCCTCCGGACACCTAGTAACAATCGCATGATTTAGAATTACCCATCGTTACATACAAGAGCCTGCTCGCCGTCGCACAACACAGAGGCAGTGCGCAGTTCCCCCCCTTAATTGTCCAATATATTATCATATAATACATGCACGTTTCGCCCTATTGGCACCTAGGACATCCGTATTCTCCGAAACCCCATATTTGCCTCTCTCTCTCCAGTATCATAACAGGACAGGACATTCTTCAAACCTGACCCCCCTAGTTACCTACTGCCTTCTCTTCTCTTCAGCTAGGTATAGGATAGACTCACAAAGACACAGTACCATGCGTTTGTGCTAAGGCAACCCGGATCGAATTCCGTACGGCGACCAACGAGCTTGGAATCGCCCGTGACAGCTGCGTCGTGATTCATGCCGTGCGACGGTAGCACATGCGCATCTAAAGATCCCCTCCCCTCTCCCTGATTCTCCAGTAACGAAAAAAAAAAATACTGCAAGCGCATTTACCAGAGCCAAACCAACTATCACAGCACCAAACTATTCATGACCAGGTAATGGGTTATCACAAGAACCTATTAAATCGACTTGAGCCAAGGAGGCTCAATCAAAGTCTTCTAAACAGAAAAAAAAAAGGACACCTACCTTAGATACCTTATATTAAAATATCCATTTCCCAGGTAAAACATCCCTATAAGACCCAACTCAGTAAATCAACAAGCGTCCCTAACCTAACCTAACCTACAACCGCAACTCCTCTCTTATTAAAAAAGCCTCCCCCCTCGTCTGCCATTCTCGTAAGTACCCAACATCCTGCAACACACAACGACGTCCCACGCCAACTCCGAGCGAATAAACTCCGCCTAAACGCAGGCCACCGAAATTTGGCCCCCACCGTAGTAGTTATCAGCTAGAGGACAGGACAGGAGAGAAGGCAACTCGGTGTAAAAAGGCCTACATACCTTACATACCACGCTTGCGTAGCTTTCGCTTACCTGCTTGACAGCCTGCCTGGGACGAGGCTGGGGGGCTTCCTGCTTGGCATTCCGCACAGGTAAAGAATGCTCTAGATACTATACTGTACTATATTATGTTAGATATAGGCGAGTGAATAGAGGATAGGTGGAAAGATCTTCTATCATATGCCTACCTACATAGGGCTCGTCGAAAGTAAGTAGTATGCGGACCAACGTACGTCTATACGCCCGTACGTCCGTATTGATAGCTCTACAACCCCCAGCTCTGTCCTACGAGGTTCTCGATGTAAACAATAGTTATTAGCTTCAGGATGTCTACTCAAGTCGCATTTAAGTATTACTTTAACCAGTTATCATTATTAAACACCTATAATTCATCTCCATATAATCTCTGCCACGTAAAATAGGTCTCCGTTTACTACTTCTCATCCCCACTTCGCTGTACGACGTTTTGATATCTATGGACTCAATCCTATGGCTAACCAACACACAAAGAAACACGCTCTACCAATCGCACTGACACCAAACGCCGACGTTTGTCTATAGTATTTAATATTTGTATTCCTGGCCTAGAAGCCCAATACTGCACCGGGTATGTCAACGTGAAGGTGCCAAACTCATTTCCAATACCCTTTTACCCTAGCACCATCATTCTAATACCCTCAACTATAATATCCACACCCTCCGTCTTGGTAGCACAAACCAGGAATCGCGAACCACGAATTACAAATTTCCGCGAGAGATGCTTGATGGCGGCTGTGGTTCGCCGCGGCCGTACTCGACACGGGAACCCAGTAGATAGTCTTGCTCCGTAGGCCCTGTCGGGATTGTGCATGGCTGGAATAGTAGACCGAACCAATAACCCTGGGTTGACTTTAGCCGCGGGACGTAGATTAATATTATATACGAGTTGTATTCTAAATACTTTCACTCGTTTTCTGTGTGCATGTTCTCGCTATCTCCAGATATCATAGTATCAGGCGAGATTGACATAAGGTGATCTAAGCCAAAACTTCGTTCATGCCGCCTAAGAAATAGATTTTTGTTTTTGGGGTGGTTGTGGGACGCTGAGCCGAGGTACACTGGAAGGACCGGAATCTTCGATCGACATCGGTTCCTCTGTTAGGACAGGTGCTGGCTCTAGTTCGCCGTGTTCGCGATTAGATAGTGGTGAAGGTGTCGGACGGGTTGGTGGGAAATCGCGATCTCCAGTCCTCTCTATCGGCGACCACCCAGCTGCTACACTGCCAGCAATGATGCCTGCCATAACCGTAGGGGCTCCTAGTGCCGAGTTTGATCGTGATCTTATCGACCTGGAACGCTTTCTGGAATCTGGAGTAGGTGCTGGGGAGGGAGAGCTGAAACTGTCTTCGCGCGTTGGGGTTTGCGGTGCTTTCACCGAATTCGATCGAGAATGGGACGGGCTCCTTGTCTTCGAGATGAAATTGTCTCGGGTTTGTCTGACGGCAAATTTCAAATTGTTCAGGCGTCCACCCTTGAGCTTCTTCAGGAATGCAAGCTCGTCTCTAACATCTGCAAGAACCTCTGGATACTCCTCGAAGCGCTCCTCGTCTGAAACTGTTAATCCAGGGATACCGCGCTTCTTCTTGAGAACCTCGGGAACACATTTGCTGATCAGCTCATCTGGAATAAGACGAAGGACCATTCCAATAGGAATGGAAATGACACCGAGGACGATTGCGCATGCCCATTGAGGACCCGTCTGTGTTGGATCGGACCCAGAAATACTAAAGGGGGCTCCACCAACAAAGATGATAAGGACTTGAGCGCCAGACACAGCAACATTGATAATAATAAAATACCAATTCTGTGTCAGGCCTTCGAAAATGTTGAAGTGGTTGTCCAAGCGACGATTGCTATCATATTATTAGCATAGTTCACAAGTTTGAATCGCACGCGTTTGTACTTACTTCCATTGGTTAAAGATTTGCATCCATACGAAGGTGTTGAAAACGAGGGTATCGCGTTGTGGGAATTTCCAATCGCCTTCTGGGACTATACCAATAGTGATCGCGCCGTAGTAAAGTATGAAAGTAATTGCCAACTGATAAATAGCCTGGCCGAGAATCATTTTCCACATTGTTACCGAAATAATACTGGCACCTCGTCGTTCTGGTTTTCGGTCCAAGCAACTGTCTTGAGGAGGGTCAGTAGCAAGAGCAAGCGCTGCGAGAGTATCCATGATCAGGTTGACCCAGAGAAGCTGAACTGCTGTAAGCACAGAGCCCTCGTCGCTGCTGGAGACAGCTGTGACGAATGTCAATACAACGGCGGTAACGTTAACGGTGAGTTGGAACTGGAGGAAACGCTTGACAGCATCGTTTACAGCTCGACCCCATTTCAAGGCCTTCACGATACTGTTAAAATTATCATCCATAAGAATGATAGCAGATGCCTCCTTTGCCACTTCCGTACCAGCAATGCCCATGGAAAACCCGACGTCCGCAAGCTTTAGAGCGGGCGCGTCGTTCGTACCATCACCAGTGACGGCAACGGTTTCACCAAGATCTTTGAGACGACGCACAAGGATGCGCTTATCTTCGGGGCTAGAGCGCGCAAGTACACGGAGGCGCGGGATGATCTCATTTTGTTGGTATTTGCTTAGATTCCGGAATTCTGGTCCTTCCATCACCAACCCATCTGGCTGCAATATGCCGCACTCCTTCGCGATAGCCTCAGCCGTAAGTTTGTTGTCACCGGTGACCATGCGAACAATCACGCCAGCCCTTTGGCATTGCTTAACCGCTTCGGGAACACCGTCACGGAGAGGATCCTGGATGCCGACCATACCAATGAATGTCATGTTCTTGAAAATATCCTCGAATATTACCTCGTTCTGTTCACCCTCGGCGCGTTTGGCACCTCGTGGAGGCCATCTCTCAAAATCGCGGTAAACAATTCCGATAGTTCGCAGAGACCTGGACGCATAATCTTCAATAAGAGACTTGACAGTTTCCACGTCGTCCATAGTGATGGGGGCATTTGATGTGTCCTGGGTAGGGTTACGAAGAATGGCCGAACATTTCTTAAGCACGATTTCAGATGCTCCTTTGACGTATAAACGAGCGCTGCCGTTCTCAAGCTGCACGACGACACCCATACACTTTCGACCAGAATCAAATGGAATAAGCTGCAGCGTCTTCGCGTTCGATCGCTCTTCACTTACCGGGCCCATACCAAGATAGGCCTTAGCATATTCCAGTAGCGCAGTCTCTGTTTTGGACCCGATGAAAGATTTCACGCCGTCTAGCTCGCCTTCGAAAGCTGTCGAGTTTAGTGAGATTGATTTTAGCAGAATCTCTTGAGCTCCATTGCAGAGAGCGCTAGCAAATTCCTTCTCGGATAGCTCCTCTCCTTTCTCAGATGCTCCGCTTCCGAATCGATGAGACGTTCCGATAGTCCCAGCAACAACCGTCATCTTGTTTTGAGTTAAAGTACCAGTCTTGTCGGAGCAGATTGTTGTCGCATTTCCCATGACCTCGCAGGCTTTCAGGTGACGCACTAAGTTGTTGTCCTTGATCATACGATTTGTAGCAAAGGCCAGCGCTAACGTGACAGCAAGAGGCAATCCCTCTGGCACTGCAACGACGATAATAGTAACCACGACGATAAAAATCTCGATGAATTGTTGGCCCTTCTGGGACGGTGTCAAGCTATCGTCTGACGGGACGCGGACCAGGAACAAGATGAATAATACAATGAACAAGAGCAGACCGGCAGCGCCTCCAAGCTTCGCAATGTATTCAGCAATAACGTTGAGCTTGGACTGAAGGGGTGTTATCTCGGGATCCTCATTTAGGGACATCATCGTTTTGCCGTAACTCGAGTAGATACCTGTAGACGTAGCCAGAAAAGTTCCTACGCCTTCCATCACTCTGCCACCAGACTGAATGAAAGGATCCAGCTTCCTCGTATCTTCTCCGTTCTCGATAGCGGCAAACACATCATCGGCCGGCCTTTTGCGTATGATATCAGACTCACCAGTTGCTTGCGATTCATCGCACTTGACATTAAAGCCTTGAATGAGGATGCCATCCACAGGAATAAGATCGCCAGGGTCCAAGTGAACGACGTCGCCAGCTAGGAGATCGAAGATGGATATTTCGACAGTTTTACCTGACCTGACGACTTTGACAAGTCGGTCCTGCTTTTTCCGGTTTAATTTCGCGAATTGCCTTTCCTTTTGCCAATCGTTCAAAGATCCAACCAGTACCACAATAACAATAGCCACAATGATAGCTACGCCTTCGATCCATTCGACAGATGGTTGTCCATCCTCGTGCTCAGCGCCAAATGTCTGGTACAGACCGACGGCAAGTGATACTACGGCGGCGACGGAAAGCAGAATTAAAACCTTGTCGTTGTAAGTGATCCATACCAATTGCAAAAAGCTCTTGCCTTTCTTCTCGGGGATTCTGTTATCTCCATAAACTCGCTTTCTGTCGATGAACTGCTCTTCGGATCCATGTCTCCGGCCGGTATCTGAGCGAACGATCGGTGTTTGCGGACTTTCCAAGCCTTCATTAGCCAACTTAGACGATGAACGGCTTGTCGCCTCTTCGAACGAGATTTTGCCTTCCAGATGCTTTTCGTCGGGGCTTAATCCGGTATCACGATTAGTGCGAAGCCCCTTTTCTATCCCAATAAGACCTCCAAGCTTGTAGAAAGCTGATAAACTTTTCGGGTTAAACATCTTAGTGAGTTGGCCAGGGCTATATGCGAAAGGGTTGTTCTCCACTTCGAAATCGGCCTCCTTGCCTTGATCCGGTTTTAAGGCATCATCATCCTTCATTATTTTTTCATTATCGAACGAGTGCTTTGATACGGCACTCTTCTCGCCCTGCCATGATGTCGTACCTGTCACCGTATCACCTTGGGAGGAACTGATTGATCGCGATCCATCTTCACTATCGACCGAATTTTGCCTCGAGCGGTGGTGATTTTCCGGAACGGAGAGGAAAGCCTGACCCTTGTCGATTCCTCTTGCAGTAACAGGACTAGAAACGTTGTGTGGGCTGGTCGGCCTACTATCCCTAGCACTATCGAATGAATGCGTCTGTCGCGCTTCCCCCCTAGAGCTCACGGTAGACGGCTGTGACGTTAAGGGAGCGGCGGTTCTTTCAGAGGATGTCCAACTCGCCGTCAACGCAGTCGGGCTTACCGAGTCGTCATGAGGAGATACAGGCGAGTGATGAGGAGCGGCGGCTGTAGGCTCGGTGTCATTTGTTGTGTCAATTGTAATAGTAGGCCTAGAGAACGAAGTTAGTATGACCAACATAAAAACGGAATAATTTGTTATGCTTCATCCGTTGAAGTTGACTTACGCTCTCGCTCTACGAGGTGTCCCCTGGGAACCGTCCTTGCTAGGTTCAGACATTTCGCGTATGTCAGCTTAAGAGTTGCGTAGAAGTCGTTAAATCCGAGCAGCCTTGCGACTGAAGGGTAAGATCTAGGTATAGGCCTCAAGGCGAGCGCACAGGCATTGGTTATCGATCGAATGCAAGATCCGCAATGCAGAAATGCTGAGGAAAGGGATTATCAAGGCAATTGACGTCCCAAGTTACAAGGGATACCGATTATTATCTATCAAATTCGTAATCTTAACGCAGGCACGGTCGGGACGTCTCCGCACAGACTGAGGCGCAGTGAAGTATCGTATGTCGTATAGCGCACGTATTCGTTTCCTGTTTACACGTCCCTTCGGCGTGTTTAGAACCGAGTGGTCGACCACACAACAGTATCTCTGGTTGAGAATCGGTAGATGCGAAACAATGGAACGTCTCTATGCTGGCTGATATTTTCAGAATCGGTGCGGGACCTGATCGTTGGCGGCCAATAATGGACAGACGAGGTTAGAGATCGAGAGGGCCGCGGCGGGTCACTCAGGAATATGGATGTATCGCAAGAATGATAGAGTTATAAACAATACGATCCGTGGTATGGAAAATGGTAGCAAATAAATGAGGCACCAAATATCTGACCGGTAGTACCTTAAGGCTTAAGGGCAGGCGAAAGTCGCAATATGCACCTATTGAAAGGTTTAAGTTTGAGGCTGAGTAGACTAGCACTTGTTTAAAGTTGCCTCTTCCTCGAAAGGAAAGAAGTAACAGCCGTCAAAGAGGAAATGCTAAGTTATTACCAAGGCAATATCCAATCCTGAGGGTGTCGAGGAGGCCAATTTTGTTTGTGACACACGGTCTTAGACCGCACCCTTCCGTACTTAGGGCCAGGTACTAAGGAGTAAGAATATTAACAAAGAAAATAAAATAGACTATTAAAACCGCGGTAGAGGAGTGACGGATTTCAACAATCCAACCTCGAAAAAAGGAGTGTGGGAAAGTTGGACAGAGGAGGGAAAGTATGTAAGTGCAAATTGAATCAATGGAGAGAGATGCACATACACTACATACATATTATCGCATAGTGTGTATAGAAAACAAGCTAGGATCTAATCAAGCTAAGGTACCAAATGCTAGGTACCTAGACAAGTGTTACGATAAACTTTCAAGGGTCTGATAGGTACATGTACCTATGTAGATACATACCTACCTCATGTAAACATCACTTAGGTTAGGTTAGGTACCTAAGGTTACAGGGCCGAAACGCGCTAATTAATAAGTCTTCTTGTGCCACGCACGCAAGTTCCCTTCAAGGTGAAGCGAAATGGTTGCACCCCGAGTCAATCGCATCCAGCCAATTACTAACTTTATTATGCTTACCCGCTAAGATATTTGACGGACTGACGGACCTAGAAGTATTAAACCTTCCGTGATCATAAAAGAAGTCGGGACAACGCCTCCTACCTAATATATAACATCATCATCAACACAGTACACCTAAGACAGGTTATTTAAAAAACCACTTAAGGTAAAATGTATTGCGCCAAGGTCCCATAGTACCAGCATCAGCATGACAAGAAACTCTTTAGCATTGTTAATTTGTCACTTGGCACAACAAAACCTGAACCGCGTGGTCGGTCTTGGTAAAGTCTTGGTAAATTACAAAAAGTCAAGAAAAAAAAGAAGGCCTGATCGTCGTGTCATACCCGCTGGTTTCTTTCGATAGATGATAAGACGTCCAGTGAAGTACGCACGATACATTCGTGGTACATATGTACATTGCATATGCAAATTGACCGTGGCACCGTGGTACCTTCGGTTATTACTCGTCACGGTAAGTCAAGGCAGCATTCGGCGAATTAGATGAATTAGAAGATGGCTTGGCAAGGAGGCTGTGCTTTTGGAGCGAAACCTCAACGATCGGACGCCCGTATTTTTTTCGGATCCATCTCGATCCAGCTAAGGTCCATTTTGTTTTGCAATACGTAAAACAACCTTTTGCCTCACTCAGGAGAAGGAGGGAGGAGGGATGGTGTCTAAGATATCATGATTTTTGAGAAATGGGAACTGGTTGGACTTAAATAGGCCATGAGGTTGAGTTGCTTCGTGTAACATAGACTAATATACACATTTTTAAGGAGACGTCACATATGTATGTAGTTATGTATAGTTTATAAGTTAGTACCTAACCACATGTAGGTTAGTTATGTAGGTAGTTACATACATATATATTAGACGTATGGATGTCGAGTTTGCAAGTTCTTACCGCATACCTAAGATGTAAGTACCTATCTAACCAACAAATACCAAAAACATCAAATATTAAACACCGCAAACATTCCTACTCTTTATCAAGTCGATTTATTCCCAGTTTTAACCCACCCCTATGTATATGACTTTCTGTTTGTCTCTTCTTTTCTGATATTCGGGCAAAGTCGCGGTCTCTACTTATGTATTAATGTCTGACCTTGGTTAGGCTTTCATACTATGTACACACTATCGCCTACCTACCTACCCCATAGACCCAACTTCCACTTACCGTACTCCATACTTGGCAATATGCCTCGTGTGTTCAGCCAAGATGTCCCAAAAGCTGCTCTTTTCAGGAACGGCATATAGTATAGTGTATATGCACTTCTCGCGGATAGTGTAGCATATAACCCGCATCGTTGTCCATTATCACCGTCCTCCGACCTAAGACTGACCAACCCGGTAAGCAATATGTCTTCGAAGTCTTAACTAGACCGGAAACAAACGTCACAGGGAATCAGCCTAGCCAGTCATATATCAGCCTCGCTATCACAGAAAAAAAGCCCAAAAACACACATCACCAATAATACTAATACTAAGGATAAGGATGCTACGTGAAAAGCAGCACATATCAACAGCAAAAGCTGCATGTTCCGTCCACGTGGGACGCTTGGAACCATCTCTCATTGGCATTGGGAAATGTGAAATGTGAAATGCCTCTTCTCATTCCTTTTTCTGACTGCGTAATAGACGAGCTAAATACTACCCTACGTCGTCTGTGTCAAAGCCTCATTTGTCCATAGGAGAGGAGGATGGGGTGGCTTGCAGTCAGCAAACGCAGGCTCTTAGTAACATCCCCTTACTTTTTTCCCCCCTTTCGTGTAACTTTCCTATAACTCACTTTTTGCTCGAAAAGCCTCAAGTTGAACACCGGGAGCAAGTCGTGCTTTCGGTCATATCCTAAGGGGGGGATTTCCCTATTCCTAAAGTAGCATTAACAACACATTTATAGCCGTACGCCGCGCGCATATACTTATTAACCAAATTCGTACATAATAAAGACTTCCCCATGTGAAAATATGGAGAATGGCCGGTGCGTATTTCGCAGCTACATATGTATCGACGCGTTCCGCCAGTCCGCGCCCCGGCCTTTTTCATTACACACTATCATGGCATTTAATGCTAATAAATTACGCCCTAGCTTACATCATGCTATCCATATACCGCATAGTAACGTCGGCTATCACGAGCGATCCTCGGGTGAAGATCGTCCTAGATCTCCGTTACATAGAGAAAGAGAAAAAAAAAAGTATCATCTCCGATCTCGACTTCATCATGTATGGGGCCATTGTCAAGGCAGATTCTCCAACATGAAATGTTCACAATAGAAACCCGTGTGTTCGGATGAAAATGTTACGATAAAAGACCGAGCATCCTAACGATCCTCTGTATCCCCCTAAGACAAGGAAGATTTGTCGGGTGTGTAGCAGTAAGCTCTACATGGGATTAACATGGGATTGTCAAGGGATTACAAGCTGTCGGTATCATAAGCATTTTTTACCGAACAATTGTTTCATTTTTTTTTCTTCTATTCAACTTTGCATTCATCCCTTTAACGTACATCACAGAAATACTAGTAGCCTTCGAAGACCCCCAATGCATAATTGCGGCTCAGCCGTAAAATTCTATATCGCTCCTCATGTCATCAACATATGATGCTCTTCGTTTCAACTTCGTAAATAATGTGGTAAAGAGATACGACAGGTACGATGGTGAATATTAAATATGTTGTCAGGGCTAAAGATCAGCCTTAACTTATGTAGATATCCCCGAGGTAAGATACATACATATATCAGGTAGGTACTTCTGTTCTTTAATTCATTATATTACACCATCTACTCGAGATAGATCGCAATATATCTCTATATAGGGAACATTCATCTTACCAATGTATGGCCGAAACTTAATATAAAATTCCTAACAACGCGGCACTAAATCTGCAAACCGGAGGCACAGCAATTTAACCTATGGGGGTTCTGGAAATACATGCAGTGTAGAGCATGCCAAGGCTGGGGTTCTATCGTCCATCATCGTCGCGAGCCATCCAGCTTCAAGAACCTCCTCCTCCCTTCGCGATATAGCACATTCATTCACTTCCATTGATATCACAGACCAACCCCAAGAAGTGTACTTTGGAACGCACTATAAAGCGCATGTGCAATAGATAAGAAGAGAGGGTCGTCATAAAACATCCAACCCGTGGGGCGGTGCTCTGCCGTACACAATCACACAAGATAACACTACCTATGTCCCGTTAGGAATCTCGAAATCTCAAATCTCCTTGGCTCTTCACCATGGCGTCGGGTTGAAAGCTGCACCTAGCCTGCCTAGCGTTAGTCAGCTCCGCGTGGCAGTGCTCGATAGTCTCGAATCAGAAGTCTCATTCCGCCATGTGTTCATTAAACTAGTTGCTTGTCTAGGTATGTATGTACCGTCTAACAACTCAAGCACTACATACATAAAATCCAGGAACAACATCCAACGAGCCATGCAATCGTCTAACCATATTAGTAAGGAAAATGTAATATAGACGTCGGGTTATTGATAAACAAGAACCTTGGTACAAGCTCCTATGGACCAAAACGGCCAAGTGTGTAGGAACAAGCAAACTTGGCTATGATACATCTTGGCTTCGTAGCCTCATAATTGCTTCTCGGCGGCAACTATGCAACATCCTAATTAAGTTGGCTTCATGCTAAGAGGGAGAGGTTGGGCCAACATATCTCAC